CCGAGGAGGCAGAATGCATTTGGAGTTGGGAAGAAGAGCGGAGTGGTGGTGAAAGTGGAGAAAGTCTGACTGAAATTGCGAATCCAATTCATTTCTCCATTATATCTCCGATCAGATGAAAGCACTGTGACTACTACTTTACTACTACGACTCACTTTTTATTTGAGGAAAAAGCATGAACATTCCTCCTTCTTCTTCTTTTTTGCGAAAAAAGTTGTCACTCTTTACTCCGCGTGTGTGCATGCTCTTACTTCACCGAGGAGGAAAGTACGTAAGTAAATGAAGTCCACGGCATAAATCAACCAACTACTTTCCAGCCATCATGCACCCACACGTTGAGGCGCAGACTAGGTTTACAAAATATTTTAATATTTGCGAACCGCCACAACGCGTCCATTGTTGACCACGAATGAAGGATTTGGCCCTAAACACTCATGAATAAATGTCTCTAAACACTCAAAGTGAAGCTGCATGCACACTTAATTATGCGAGTCAAAGTGGGATAAAAACCCAGCCTGGTGTGCGAAATGGAGGGTGACAACTGCATATCCATCGCATGTGGGGCATGACACTCCTCATCTTTCTCCTCTCTCTGATGAGGGAGGGGAAAGTGATAGAATATCTTTACATACATGGACCTCGCTCCACGTATATTGACGCCATCCGGTTAACTTTTTATGTAAAGTGGAGACTTGATGATGACAATGCTATGCTGCTTCTACTACTGCCAGTCGTTGTCATCCGCGTCGTTGGTCGGTAGCTTCCAAAATCGCATCCACTGACGCAGGCAAACTCATCCTCAGTCAGTTGATTTCTTTGTGTGTTCCATCCAACAGCCTCCCTCCACTTTTCCTTATTTGCCTAAAACTGAATCCGCAGATTCTACGTAAGTAAGTGCATACATATCTATACGCTGCTCATATGTACGATCCCCATATTCCACCAGCTACTTACTTACTTACCTCGTTTCCTCCACACAACTTTCCAACTTCAACAACAACTTTCTCCATCACTACTTTATGTTATTTATCTTGCAATCTCGCGTCCAGTTTTCTCTACCTTCCGACCCAGCCAAGCCACGAAATTGACGAAATGTACTTTAATTCAAGTAAAAAGCAAGTTGGTAATTTTATACGGGGAGATTTCTTTTACCTTCCAGCAAAAACAGAAAGTCTGTTCAACATGGTTTTGTCGGTAGGAAAAAAAAATTAGGATTGGTTACAAGGGAAGGAAATTGTCCAACGGGGAGTTGTTATGTTTCGCCGATCTCATTACAAGATAGTCAATGTAAACTAGGCAACTTTCGTGTTTCCATTGGAAAAAAGTTCAACCAGCTTGGAAAGAGATTAGCATCCCTTTGCATGCGATTAATGTGGGAGATCTTTGCATACAAATTTTCTCTGGGTGATTGCATGCCAGAAGAGTATTGGGCTGGTTGGTTCCTGTTGCACGAAATGTATCTCTGTGAAGGGAAAATGTTCTAATTTGACAGGAAGAAGTCTGTTTTTGCACATGTTGCCTAAAGCTATCACTCTGTTGTTCAATGTATAAAAAAATTGGTTATACATTTTTTCAATCTTTTTTTGGAAGTGAGTGAGGATCATGTAAATATCTGTGGATGCAAGTAGCAGTTCTTGTTTTGCAGGCAGGTTAACCTTTGTGAGGGAACGTTTACTTTTCATCTGTGTTCAGTTTTCGTGTGTATGTATTGACAGAAATGTATAAGGTTGAGCTTATTGTTAGTTCCTACCTAAAATGATACAAAATTCGAACATTTTAAAAACTTGGTTCATGGTGTATCTAGAAGTAAACGGGAAGTAAAGTTGCATAAACTACTTTTGGTCACACAGTCGTACTTTCCAAAGATTCACACGAATGGAAAGTTGAGACCCTGAATATTACGATATTAAGCATTTCTAGTAATCTTGAAACTGATATGAGACATGTGCATATTTATTACACAATTTTCATAGTAAATATACGCTTTTCCTAGAGTTTTAATTAAATTAAATATGTATCAGATTTCTGGAATGTTTATAAGATTACTTCATACCAGAAATATGATTTAATAAAATATATTAACAGCATTCAAATCTCTTTCAATTTCAACCCCTCTTGAAATATGTCTCCAAAATGTGACATTAAGTACGCCGACAAATTCATTTTCCATTATTAATTCCATTACAGAAAATGCATGTATGTATGTAAAGGATGACGAAGCACAGCTTGTGATGCAATTTGCGCCTCGAAATTGCAAAAATTCTTCCATGCTCAACATTTGACATTTGAATTCCTCCACAACGTTCTCCTCTTGCCGAACCCATGCACCATCGCTTTTTATAATCGGGTGCACTAACAATTTTAAAAATTCGACATGCTGACCCTTCCCCACTAAAACAGAGTTGATATTGACTTTACTCGTGCCCTATTATTACCAAGCAGAGTGCCAAATTGCCTGTCGAACTCTAATCGAAAATCGATGCAAGTAGCGTGTAATCGAATGTTATGTGTGCAACATGGCAATAAGATACGTACATATGCATCGAACAAATCGTATCCTTCCTTCCTGCCATAATATGACGACAAATTTGTATCCTCTCGTAAACCGGTGCTGTAAAAATTTCCGCTTTAAAATCCGACCGGATTCTGGCTAAAAAGCCAAGCCAGGAACGCGGACCCCGATGAATGAACCCACCCATCACCCATTTGAAGTTATATATCTCAAGGAGCGAGTCAGAGACCATCAAAATTTTACAGCTTTCAGGCACATACGCAAGCCTTTTTATTGAGTTGGACCACTCTCTCCGACTTAAAAATAGGTGGAGAAAGAAGTCAGAAGTCAGAATTGTAGTGAGAATTTTAAATTGAAGAGGAGTCCCATTTTCGATACAGGAAAGAGGAAAGAAGCACATCTCTAAAATCCAGCACCCACAAAATTCGCCACTTAAACCCAAAGTCAGGAGAAGCTGAAGCCATGGTGGAAAACTCTTCCTCTTTTCCTCCGTCTTGATTTAACTGGATGCATTGAAACACATCACAAACAGAAAGAAAACTGGGAGAAAGTGAGCCCAATAAATTTGTCAAGACCACTTTCACTAAACCCAAACGAGTATCTTGGCCTGATCTGAATCACTTTTCTCCAATGGGACTCGCTCCTCCTGGGTTGAATGGTTCAGAGGAAGGTTATTGCATTAGAAAAGTGACTCGAGGCTTCTGGCCCCCATTATTCCCAACTGACTGCTGAGACTGCTTGGACAAGTTTAAAATGTTTGAATCTATTACCCCAAAAAGTTGTTGCTTGCTGTTTAAGTGCTAAACAAGCGAATGTAACTCTGCGTAAAGTTGGCGATTTATTTTCCAGCAATTTATTCCCTCAGAATAAACCAGGCCCCATTACACAGTAATTGCGAGGAAGATAAGGAATGACTTATTGCATGGAGACTGACTCAGCAGTCGTGGTGGTGGGGTGTGCATTGCACTAATGTCCTAGATTTGTCCACAGTCTTATATGTACGAATTAAGGTTAAATATATACATTTGAGTCCTTTCTTCTTATTATTATTGATTCGTGGAGGGGACCGCATACTTACTTCCTAACCAACTTTCAATTTATTTCTGCATTGCAAATCCCCCTGCAATTTTGGCTTATAAATGTTTAAGTCATTTCAGAAATAATTGGATGTCATACGTACATACGTAATCACAGGATTGCATAAGTCGCAATTACACCGAGACCCACGGACTGCAATCCGATTTCGGTGACTTACTTAGATATTTGTCAAAAGCTCAACTCTTCTTTACATCGTCCAATGAACCACGCAGAGCAAAGAAATTCCCCGAATGTCGTATCAAAATTGTAGGTTAAATAAAATTAAGGATTGTATTTAACCACGCAGAAGTTCCTCTTTTGAAGACGACGTATTTACCTATTTGAGTGAACTCACTGTCAAGATAAGGAGCGATTACAGTACAGTATGACAACTTAATTTGTGAATGGACAAACTTCTGGGGTATCTTTCTCTCCGCTTTCTCTCTGTTTAGACACAACCCCCAAATTATAAGCTGTGACGATATTATTTCCCACTGAATTAGGGGAGACCACTCGATAAATTGATCTACGTCTTAAATTACAGTGGGGGAGCAGCATCTATTTTCTTTAGTCAGACTATTTCTTTACCGAACGGAAATAAACAATAAAGGAAGGAATATGTGCTCACATTTCAGAAAACAAACATGCGCTGTGCTGTAACAAACGTGGATAATTTTGTCACAACAAGGTTAACACGCTGCAAAACATTTACGAAGTTGGTACAACAATTAAATAATATTAGAGTTGGTCCAACATGCATTTTCTCTCGCATGAATTTATCACCGTAACCCGGTTGGAACTCGTTTTCATTTTATTAAATCTTTCTCCCTGCAGGAGCCTCACTTGGCGAGGAGAGATTGGACCAACCAACTTACGTATGGAAACGAGAGACAACAAAAGTCATCCAGCTTGCCGAGACAACAACAACAACAAAACCACTCTTGATTTTATGATCCTCCGACATGGCTAACTTTCTCTGCACCCGCGGTGAAGTGAGAGAAACCGTCGGGTTGTTGTATATGAGGAGAAAGTTGGCTGGACTGGAGTGGAATACGACTTATGACATCACGCTCATAAATGCAACAACTGAGAATTCATTCAAAGAAGCTTGCTAACGACTTTCTTCTCTTTCATGCAGTATGTTGGGATTACATATCTTTCGTTATCTAGCTGTTCTACCCAGTGGCCGCGGAAGCTTGAGGGGACAGAGGGACAATGTCCCCACGGTTATTCGATGTCCCCATCATCTCCCCATCTTATATAGACCCCTCCCTCCCCTATCCTTCAATATTAATGTCCCCACGTGCCCCCACACCTTCCGCGGTCCCTGCTTGTTCTAGCCACGAGTGCATTAAAAGCATGTCGTATTATTAAGTGCACGCCATAAAAAGCAGACTAAATACATAAATACCCATCCGATCCCTCGAGTTAGCTCCACGATACGGACTTCTCGATCTTGATCTCGACCTCGACATTGATCCCGTGCTGCTGCCCCCCACCAACGGTCGCACGTGTGGAAATGCGGACGGCAGGCTGGTCGAGTTTGGGATGCAGCAGGATCGATGATACCGCGACGGGGTTGAACACGAAGTTGGGGACGCGGGGACGGAGGCTGACCCTGGCGGCTTGACCAAACTACCATAACCACCACCCCCACTGCTGAAGTATCCGCCCACACTGTTGGTCGACGAGCGGCGATGCGTCGGAGATGGGATCCTGCTCGGGGTGGGTGTTGGACTCTTGCCGTCGCTGCAGGGACTGAGCAGGCGACGACTCCGATTCCTTTCGTCACCTATGTGGCATAATTAGATTGGGGAAAAATGGCGTGTTAATTGGTTAGTCGTTTTATTGGAAGGGATGGATTAATTATTGAAGCGATTAATATAATTAATAAATAATTAGTTAGAGCGAGATTAGTGTGATTCGTCAACAAACTACTCATATACATATCTGTTAAAGATTGTTGAAAGCAATACGGGCAAAATTTCTGCAAATCGCAAATATACTTACAAACATTTCCCTGTTTTTGAGATGAAGAAATTGCGAAAACAATACTCAATCCTACATTTATTATTGGGATGCCGTGTTCGTATCCTAAATAATTCAACGCATCAATCTGTCTTATTACTTATAGAGCAATTCCTCCTTTTAATAATTTACTATGTAATTGACTAAAGTGCACTTAGGTAATTTGATGTGATGTGATGGAAAAGTTTGGCAAACGTGTTTTTCCAGATCCGGCCTAAAGGAAGGAGGGATTGTCATGCAACAAGGTTCGGCAAAACAAGGCAAAAGGTGTGTCCTCATCAAGGAGGAGCACAGAGCATGATGATTAATCCGGCTTGGAAAGAACTCGACTAATGCAGTTTATTAATGGATGATCACATGAATAAATTGAATTAGTATTTAGCTTCTCTCGTGGCATGGGGTCATTTTGAACTAGTTTGCAAATTGATTTCAGTAAGTAATTTGCACGGTGACGTTAATTTAATGAACTGTACAATTACTTATCTACCAGCAGGTAGATAATCACCATTTACTTTGAAATTAAAAAGTGAAATTAGTCTGATTAGCACTGCCGTCCACTGCTCGTTCGTATGCAAACATTAAATCTGCCAAAGTACGCAGTAGTCACATCACAAATTGAAAAATGTACCTATGTATGCGTTATAAATTAATTAAAAGTACATAGTAGATGGACGGATGGAGAAGGACTTTGCTGACCTGGCGAAAGGTGAAATTCGGCACGGCTTTCATCCATAAATCCAGACATGCATGCATTCATTATTCAACGACGTGGAACAACAACAGGTTAAATACGTGGAGGTGTGTATGTACACATTTTGACTGTGATGACAACACCATTTACGAGGAAGGATGAATATGTACATAAACAACAAGATTGAATTATGGGGTTGACGTCAAATTTTAATTGTGTTGACTTCCTCCTTCTCGTCGTAACGTCTCTGTGTCTACAATCATGACCAGCCAGACCACCCCCTCCCGGTTGTCTATGAAAGTCGTAAAGCAACCAAGTCCGCTAATGGAATCAGGTCGTCGTAGGTGAGGAGCTAAACCAATACGGGGAATTGACGTGCCATAAATGAAATGAGAAATTGATTGCATCCCCCACAGGTCACTTATTGTTAGTACGTGATGAATAGTTACAAAACGCGGAGATAAAAGAGTTGTCCAATTTGCCAAATTACACACCTACTGATCATTTGTGGTTTTATGTGAAAAACACAATAGTAATTTCCACGTATTATTGTTGATAATTTGACTAGAATAAAACAATAATTTATGCCCTCCCGAGTTTATGGATCTGATCGTAGTTTTTCGTGGATTGGATAATAAACCGAAATGATCTTACCTGAATTGAGGGCAACTCCTAAACTTCCAGGAATCACGAGTGGAGGAAGTCTCCTGTTTCCTATGCCAAGTCCGGCCGTGTTCGGACCACCCCCACCACGTCCGCCCCCTCCAACACTGACTTGTCCACCGCCCCCTCTGTTCATCGTCGTTACGGTGATGTCAGTCCCACCAACGCCACTTTTCCCCCTCTCCGGAACCACTTTCGTCACTACTATCTGGATCTGTGGGTGAACAGGGGAATTTTCAGGGTCAATTTGAATATCCACGTTCGCACAACTTAGTAGCTACATGGCTAAATTTATTCTCTCTGATCTTTCTACTGGTTACTGAAATATCGCGAGGAATGTCTCTGTCTTTGTCCTTGATTCTCATTCGACACACTGAACCCATGCAGTACAGTCAGATGCCCTTTTTGTGCAGAATTTTGGTAGCAATTATGGTATGACATGGGGTCCAAAAATATCCTAATCGTTGGTCTGACTGCTGAGGTAACGACGACGAGTTATCCAAAATCGAAGATATCGAGAATACCCCTACGCAAAATTCACTACTCTGTTTTTGCCCAGTTACATTACGTCTGCTGTGACTTTTATTATGGGTCTCGGAATATCAATGATGAACGCTAATGAGCATTCTATTATTATTCAAGAACGCTTTTCTTTTCCACCTCATTAAATTCTGTTTGTGAAAAGAATTAAAAACGAGAGTGCATACAAGAGCACCGGCCCACGTGTGAAGTGTTCTACGTGCAGAGATGGAATGGACGAGTATGTAATGTACATACATGGATTCTGGGTCAAAATTACCTATTTGCCAGATATCTGACTGACTTATCTTGGATAATAAACCGTTTATTAGAGAGAACGGATTGGTTATATCGAGTGAAAATATAATGACTGCATGATTTATGTGTGTATTGCAGTGCTGACGTCATGTAATCTTAGAAACTTATCGGAATCAAGGAACAATGTCATTATACAGATATGCACGAGTTATCTATTTTTACCTTGACCGAAACTGAGTACGTTTCTTGCATAATCATTTATGCAAGAAATAAAACTAATTTTCTTATCGAGTTAATTTGCTATTGTAAGAACGAGCTAGATAATCGTGGAGGGTCATTAAGATTATTTTTATGACGGATAATAAGTGCGTATTTGAGACTAAAGGTTTACCTGGTCCGAGTCCGGGATGAGTAGCCTGGAGACGCACGTGTTGCTCATTTGTGGTACGAGAGACATGTTGCCGAGAACTTTTTATTTATTTATATTTAGTGAGTGAGTGAATCGATTCAGCGTATAATCAGAACTTGAAGGTTCGAAAAGGACTAATCTCTCGAGTCTTTCTTGAGTAATTTATTCAGCCACAAGTTTATTTTTCGTCAAAGTTTAATTGAAACTAACGAGAGAGACGAAAGATTGCCCTATTAAATAATATTCAAGAAACTTGCTTGCATTACGTTTCGCTGAGTGTATACTTTCTTGGAAGAAAATATAACAATTCAGTTACAGTCAGAGATTAAACCATAAAACTATTATCGTAGGTTGAGGATGGATAAATCGATCCCCGAGATTCAAGGTGGGTCGGATAAATATGACGATCGCAGTGGTAAAGGTGAGTTTCTTTCTCTGCTGTCGTCGTCGTCGTCGATAAAAAAAAAGTTTTCCTTCCCGTAGTCACCCACTCCTTATCGTATTTTGCACAAGACAGGATTAGTGGCGACTTCTTCTTCTCATGCAGTGCTTTCTTCCACGGAAAATTCTATTCTTTCGCACTATCTCACATCTCAGGAGCTAATTGGGAGTATCAAAACCAGATGTGCTATTTGCTGATCAAGATATTTCTTGTTTGAGGGGGAAAATCAGGGTTTTGTGGAAATTGCAAAGTTCTTTTTTTCTGAAAACTTGAAGATTTACAATTGTCCTTCTTCTCCTGGAATAAGAGAATGTTCGCAATTGTGTTTTTGGAGAAGTTATCTACCGTGTGTCCACCTTGTTAATAAAGCTTTGCTCCAGGTCTGAGCTAATGATCCATTATGGACGCTGTGGAACGGAGAACTGCTCCCAACTTCTTCTTGGCAAGGAGGGTGGTCCAATATCTGGTGTTGCCGAGAAATCGCCAAGAGACAACTGTAACATGGATGGAGCACAGCATGATAATCGGGATTAATGGGGTCGCACACACCAACCACCACACAGTCTACGACTAACTATTACCATATAGCTAGGTGATCATATAAGCCAGTCAGGGCAATCTACTAACCATCAATCCCAACGAAATCACAATTTGAGGTCGGTTATACACCACACACGACGCCGACCCCACTAATTCGTCTTCATCTCTCTTATGCCTTTCTCCTCCAAGGACAGTTTTATCCCGTATTTTGTAACTGGAACAAACTCACTTCCATATAACACGACCACTACCTGGGCGTATTTGTAGTTAGTAATGCGAGATAATGTAATGTATTTATCAATAGCAATAAATTTTAGCAATACCTGTCATTTCCTAAACGACCTCCACACACCAAAGTAACCTATTGACGTATGTCGTGGCGTGGCGAAATAGTCGTCGTCGCAATCACGATATCGATACAGTCGCATGTTGATCAGCATGATTCTAATCATGAATAATGGAATCATACCTGGGTTTTGGTACTTTTTCGAGGCGGAACGGAACACAATCGCTGGGATTAAACTTGTTATTTTCTTTCGGTGTCTCTAATAATTGCGGCAAATTGGGTAATTTCACCACCACTTTCAGGCACACAGCCAAGGACGACAGAAGAGGTTGAGCAATCACATTAGAATATGGTGGGTGGGTGACTAGGTTAGTTAGGTTGGTGCTATTTTAATAATCTCTCTCTCACAATAGTAGACAATGGTCCGGTCATTTATTACATTTCGACATGGATGGAAAACAAATGGGGCGAGCGAAACGCTATTTTCGACACGGATTGCACTCTACATAATTCTAGCGGTTCACATCTGCAGATTTCAATTTACAAAGAGTTTTTACTCCAATTATAAACTATGTAGTAAATTAACTAATTAAACGACCTCGAGACAAATGTCTCTCCATAAAAGCCTGGTGGTGAACAAACTATTTGCTTTGTCCAGTAAATTAGCAAAATTACAGTGCTCCCTGCCTCGTCCGGTATTATTATTGAGGAGAAAGGTCGTTTGGGTGGATATCTGGGAGATTGTACCGTGTTTTTCCTTGCCGTCCGTCGGTGGGGCGGACTCTTATTAATAAAATCTACCCAATCTCTTCTTCTTTCCATTCATCACTCACTGTCCATCTTTCTTTGGATCAAGGTGAGCTTATTGGTGGTCTTGTGGAGTTGTCGTTAGTCGGAGTGGTTATCGGGTTACATTCGAATTCATGGATTGAAAATGCCCCATTTTCCCATTTGCCATCCAATATTCCCATCCATCCAGGTTGTCTGGGTTGACGTTATTATTACCATTGAATTAATGTTATTAATACCATCGTATTACCAAAGACCACAAAGGAAAGCAGTCCGCGGACGAATAGTATTACACGAGTGGAGAATGAAATAGGGGAAAATCAATCAAGATAAAATAGCTTTCTTCACGGTACATGTAAGGAGGGCGGGGGACACATGTGCATAACAATGTATGTGTTCATATATTATGGTGAAATGAGATCTACTCTTGATTTAGATGGATTTCGGTAGGCATGGAAGGACAAGGACATGGATATTGTTAGGCAGACAAGTTATTGGTAGGACATTGGTCGTGTTTCGGAAAAATAATACACGTGAACAAAGCATCGAGAGGTCCATTATTTTACTTGTACAAGCAAATCGCGTTAAAATGATTATCTTGTAACTGATTATAAATGTTACGTTATAATAATGTGATGATGACGTTTGAATGTGTGCAGTGGCAATTAAGAACACCAATTACTTTGTCTTTTAAAATACATAAATGACGCAATAGGATACTCGTCACACGCAATAACTTCCATTCCAAAGCTACCAATAAATTGCCACTTGAGATCAACATGGTACATAAATTACTCTTATCGAGAGAAATAAGTACTTCAAAAGTACAGACTGAACTGTCAGAAATGAGCTCTCATTTATAAACTGAAATGCAACAGGCGTACATAAATGATCCAAATATTAAACCGTTATAAATAAAGTGTCACATTATTTCCCTACAAATGTCTCTGACATTTCTTCTTTTCTGCATTTTCATCTTCTTGATCATCTTTCTTGTCGTGTATGCCAGATGGAATTATAATAAATTGGACAACTTGGGTTTTCCCGTGGTCAAACCATCCTTCATCTTAGGCAGTGATCCACAAGGGTACAAAAAAGTTCAGCATTTGGAGGACTATGAGCGATTCCAGAAGTATGGAGATATTTATGGGGTATTTAAAAATTGAGAGACACATTTACATGAAATTTATCGAGATATTTACTAATTCAGGATTTCCGAAATGTTTAGTTCTTTGAAGGCAGGAACCCACAAGTGCATGTGTGTGATCCAGAAATGATACGTCTCATTTTGGTAAAAGATGGACATCATTTCAAAGAAAGACAAAAGACAGACTTTGGAAATCCTGTGACTAATGAAGTCTTGGACTGGCAGCATGGTACAAAAATATATAAATACATACATACGTTCATTACTTGGATTATATTACACACATCATTACAAATGTATTTATGTAAATTATTTACTTATTAAACGCTACAGAGGAAAAATGGAGATTTCTTCGGTCAGTAATAACACCAAATTTTGCATCGCATCGGATTCGAGATATGAGCGAATGCTTGAGAGAACTGTCAGAAGAGTTTACTTCAGAACTAAAGTCTAAATCGTTTGGTGACAAAATCACGATGGATTTCAGATCGTACGAATTTAAGACTTTTTTACAAATTTTGAAAATAAGCACTTATCTCATTTTACATAATACTTCTCAGTTTTGTTGGGTCGCTGATAACTAAAACAATCGAAAAATGCTACTGTGGCATCCGACTAGAAAACCGAGTCGATCCTGGACACACATTTGACATTCTTATGAAGAAACTTATCAGCGAATTCTCGGGATATGACATCAAACACGAATTAGTCCGTAAGCATTGGATTAAAATTAAGTCTTATTATCGTAGTTACGTCAGAATAAGCTTTATATTTATGCACATTCGTACAGGAGCATTTCCATTTTTGATCAAGTGGCATCCAACCATTCCATCCGAACCGATCGCCGTATTTCGTCAACTCGTCCTTAATCTGATTAAAGACAGGCAATCTCAGCACACTGAGAAAATCAATTTGCAATACAACTTTACCGACACGCTTATTGACCTCTTATCCAAAGCACAAGCCCCGCAATACCAGCATCTCAAAATTACCGAAAACAACGCGGTTGCACTCGCGTTGGAATTTTTCCTGGCAACTTTTGACTCCGTGAGCACGCCGATCGTCTTCATGGCGTACTATTTAGCAAGCAATCCGTCCGTCCAGGAAAAAGTTTTACAAGAAATTGACTCCGTCCTGGAGAAATGCGATGGTGAGGCTGAACTTGGGTTTCAAGCCGTGCAGGAAATGCCATATTTGCAAGCCTGCTTTCAAGAAGCGTTACGACTGGCTCCACCATTTTTCAAAGTGGAGCGGAAATGCACAAAGGATTGGGAGTACAAGGGCTATAAAATCTCAGCAGGAGTCAATGTGATCATTCCTGTATGGGCTACAAACCGACATCCGAAGTACTATGAAAATCCAGACGAATTCATTCCAGAACGATGGCTGCAATCAGGCGATAAAGATAAAAGCAACAATGCCTACGCCTTCTGCACTTTTGGACACGGTCCTAAAAACTGTGTGGGGCAGAGGTGGGCGTATGAAATGGGGAAAATTATAATGGCAAATTTTATGACGACGTTCACTTTTGAAATGAAGGAGGATACCAAAGTTCAGTTCAAACCGGGGAGTTCCTTCATTCTTAAATTTGAACCGATTTATCTTGACATTGTTCGAAGGGGGTGATATAATTAGTTGGAAGTTTTGATGTTCTGTTTTAATTTGCATATCAGACTTTCGTTAACAAAAAAAGATGAGATCAGCAGATAAATTGTTAATAATCTACATGTAACTAAATATAATTTAAATAAAAAATAATCACACCAAGTATGATCTTGTGAAGATTTGCCTATTACTTCGTTGCAAATTGATTCCGATGTGAGGTGGAATTTCTTGAAGACTCAACTCCAGTAGTTTTCGTACTAGAAACAGCTCTCAGACTCGTCTTATGCCTTCGAGTTAACGGTTTGACGATAAACTTCAAATACGGGAATCTGGTTAACAAGTCGTCAGATTTTTCTGGACTAATTGACACAAATAACATTATCCCTGCAGATTCAAATGTTACATATGTGAGTATCATATCAAGTCTCTTAAATATTATACCACAAGTATTTAGATACTTACTCTTAAAGGTTGGAAATTTTGCTTCCAACGAGTTTATGGTTTCCGACTTGCACACAAATGTGACGAAAATCGCAAACGCCTGAAAAATATTGATGTAGTCAAAAATTCCCCAATACCACGGTATTTCGCCGCAGGGTGTCGTGGCCCACGAGACGAATTCAAAACACCAAGGAATGCCCGTCAGCAAAACCAACTTTGCAAATAGCACAAGACTGTAAAAAACGGGAGAAAGTGATTAATTCCATCGTTATTTATCAGTGGCCCCGGAAGCGGGGGGACAAAGGGACAATTGTCCCCAGATGTCCCCGCAGCTTCCTCGGCCACTGCAATTTATAAAATATTTATGTGTCAGTATGTCCTTACGACTGCTTTTGTTTTGGATTCTTGGAACTGCTCATCGAAGCAAATTTTGTGCTTTGTTGGATTTTGTACATATCATAAATTGTGAAGGAAAAAAAAATCAAGTTGCATAAGAGTAAAACTCCTATCGGTCCGTACAGATAAGGCAGCAGGGCATACTCCGGGTTCATGAAGCAGTTGAGTTTCCCATACTCCGGAGTAATAATGTCACTCTCGATGTCATTTCTGCGTAAAATATTTTGCAATTTCCGTTCAAAATGATTTACACATGCATTCTGATCAGACAAATGTATATGCAGGAGTATTTCACAAACTTGTAAAAGTAGTCGAGCACAACTGCTACGCCAACAATTGTTGAAGGCGTTCCCAGAGAGAAGAGAGCGTAAAGCATGAATCTGCTGAGACCCTTCGACTTGCCTCCAGTTGGTAATAGTGATCTGTGTGTGGATATAAATACATTTTATGTTATGTAATCTGGAAGGAAGACTGGATTTTTTTTTCAATACCGAAACGTCCACCATAAAGAAAAATTTACACAGCTCATCCAACAAAAAGTGCACAACCAGAAGAAATGGGCTCCAATGGCTAAAAATAAATAAAGAAGTGGTCAATTGTGTGTTAAATTAATTAAAATATTGATATGAACAAACCAATAATAAGACATCCATAATTCTGAAAAAAAGGAATAAAAAGATTACAATAAGAGGTAATTAACATAAAAGGTAAGAATGTATTGATTAATTACCCCACTATTCCCAAAAAACGTAAGGTAATCCAGTTTAGAAAGTCCAGTGAATATATACATTGCAAACATTGATCCGAAATATGCTATTGAAGTGTATCCGTGAACGTTTTTCTTCTCCCCCAAGATGTACACCTAATGGAAACGGTAAGTTAAGAAAATCCAGACCCACACTTGTCCAATCAAATTGATCTTGATCAAACAATGGGATAAATGTGGGTTTGGAATTTTTAAATAAAAAATGGGCAATATTTAGGTTTCATACTAGGACAGTGATCAGAAGAAATGCTGACCCCACCAGAAATGACACTGCATACGCCTTTGAAGTACCGACATTCTATATTTAGAAGAAAGTCGCAAGATTAAATCAGTAAATGATTTAGTCAATCAAAATGAAATTTTTGAAAATAATTTGACATACCGAGACGCACGGCTTTACAACCTCACTGTAGTCCCTGCAGTCAATAATAACAGTGTCTTGAAAGTCTCCAGAAAAGGTGGCATTTGGAGATGCATCGTCATCAACATTTTTTGCACCGTCTAAACAAAATGTTCCAGGTGCAAGTAAATTCCACTTCCACTTATCATGCTTCATCCAAACACTTCCATCGAGAAGTATTCTAAATCTGTGGATTGCATAACGGTTAAAATATAGCGTCGAATCTACATTTAAAATAATATCTCTTACACATCTTTCTTTGGAATTTTGGAACTGTGTTTCAGTGGATAAGCGATTATGGAACTTCGACACCACTCCCTTGGATGGCTAATGGTGACTTTTGGCCTTTGACCTATTCCGATCTCTGTGAGAGGTGCTTTGGAGTGCAGATCTGAGTAGAACATCGGACTCCAAGATGCATTTCCAGCTGGCCGACATCGAACCGTTCCATCTTGATAAAGAGAAAAGTCAGCTACCTCGTGTGGTGGACAGCACTTTGGAACACTTTTGGAACAGGGTTTTTCTTCAGAACATTTTTCTGGATTGCATACAATAAGTTCCATGTGGTCAAGAATTGGAGAAATTTTATTTATGCAGTATTCGTTCGGAGGCAAGTAATCTTTGCCATTCTTCAAGTATCCGTTGCTCAGGAATAATTTAACATCTTCCGTAGCATTCTGAACGAGAAGGGAGGAAGTTCCATTGGGGCAGGATATCGATTGGTAAATCCACCTGCGGAGTTAGAAATTTGAGATTTTACCAAAAAATCAAATTGAATGATAATTATGTAAAACCAACCGTTCCGAAAAATCCACATTTGTAAGTTCATCTTCGTTGTATCCCGAATCAATTAAATTTTGATGTTTGACTAAAAACTCTTGAAACAATTGTCCACTAAAAGTGTCATCATTTTGAATTTTTGTGCAATTCTTATTTGAACAACACACTCCAAAATTCACAATTTCGCATCTCACGAGACAAAATAGCGTTAAGAATATTACAAAGATTTTAAAAACCATGATGACTTTGTTAAATCTCCAGACTTGTATCCGAGTAATTACGACTGGATCTTCCCCAAATTTTATGATACTTCCACTGCAGTCTCAAAGTGGAAATGACGCCATAAACTCAATCTGCTAAAAGTCATCCACCGCAATCCCACTAATGCGCAGATTCTACTAATTGACTTATGCAATGGAATGACCAGAAGGCGTTTTTTGCACAAATACACATAATTAAATAGGTCTGGAATCTCACAATAAATCACATTACATTATGCAACACTGTCACTAATGAAATTTTCCGAAAGGGGTAAGAATAACTTTGCAGATGCTGTGAGACGAGAAACTGATACGATTTGGTGTTTAATACTAATAAAACCAGACTTGTTGAGACTCTGACTTAACCTTCGGCACTCTGGTCGTTGACTAAGAAATCTTTATGAGATCGTACAGTCTCGATTTAATCAAGTCGAAAAAAAACGGACACGGTTGAAATCAACATCCCACAGCCAAGTAATGACAGCCTGCAGGTATTTACATTACAAAAGCTTGCCTCGCGTCAATAATATATCGATATAAAGTAGATCGAAATTTTATATCAGCTTCGTCATTTTCGTGGACATTGCATGTCACAAAATCGCAGCACGCATACCTGGAATTTCGTTAAAGCCAACATATGTATGGCGTTTTGCATATAATGTTAATTTTATAATCATTGTGCTGTGGAGTAGATCCATAAAAGTGTTGTCTATTCATGGTCCGTCGGCTTCTGGGGTTTTACGTTATTTTTTTGATTCTGTGAATCTCAGCAACTGAATGATACACTAGATTTCATCTCCTATTTCCATTGTGTATTGTGCTTTGGGTTTGAGTGACAGTTAATTGGCGACTTAACAATGGATCTAATTACAATGGACACGTTTTATAAATTCATTAATCATTCGTTTTTTCTAGGACTCTTCAATTCAATTACACCGAGTATGGAAAATAAAAATTCTAGTTGGTTGTATGTACTTACAAAATAGGAACAATTTATTAGACTAATAGACAAAACTCATAAATTTGCATACATATGTCTTTGTATCGTGATTTCATGAATGATGCAGATTTTAGCATCATTTCATTTCAAAGCTGACGTTATTTCCGGGATTTTCCCCAGCAGTGCTTCTAGTGGAGCTGGTAGAAATCTGCGTCGTCACACTCGTCGAGCTTAGGCCACTCCCAATTCGAGAACGAAGAAATTGCAAACCCAATAACTGGAACAGACCTAAAATAACGCATATCTAAATTAATTCTACGCTATTTATATGCAAATAAAGTGTAAACTATATGTAAACAAGTTCATACGTACATCGAAGGCAAGGTAGCTTTACTTGAAGTCCTCTAAAAATATCCGCCTTGCAAACAAAAATGACAAATATGGCGACAGGTTGCAGAATGTTGATGACATCTAAAACATAGGCAACCGGGTTGCTTGATGCTCTCCCAAATGCGAAGTACGACACAAGTTCCAGTATCCAGATTAGTCCCATGACGAAAAAAAGCTTGACAAAGAGCAAAAACCTGTTAAGACAAAAAAATGTTTTCGATTAAATGGAGCATTAATCATAAACAGTGGCAATTATCATGTCAGCATACTTGGATTTTTCCGTGTCATTCTGCGAACTCTTGTTAGTTGCAAACTTTGTACTTTCCCCAATTTTGTAGAGGGTGATTACAGTAATTACAAACAAGGCGACGTTGCACCCTAGCAAAATCGCGACGGGGACAAACTTGAAGAACAAAGCTGAAGAATCATTAATATAACAGTGAAGGACAGAGTATTCTAGGTAGATTGCGGTTGCGTCCAATTTTCCACTGAAATTTTAGATAATAATTTTTTTTTCTACTGGTTTTTGATAAGTTTGTCAATAATTTGAAATGTGCTCACGTGAATAATTTTTTCAGCGCAAAGCCAAACAGTAAAACGGCAGAGGGGACGAGAAATGCGAAGAGTAAGTAGAAAATAAATCTCTGTTTCCGCTTTGATCTTGCAGTGGTCAATGTCAAGTTATTAAACGTCCAATATACATCGAAATTAATTAATGTTAGCCAGCAGAATGTTGACAGGTACAGAAAATGAGAGACAATTGCTGCAAGAAAACAACATATTAATTTTATATATATTCAATTGAATCCCACTTTTCCATATTAATTTTCATGTAAATATACCCACCCAAAGATGTGCACACCCAGTCACTGGAATCGCTTAAAGCTACCTTCTCATTATGCGCGTATATAGCAAATACAGACAGATGCAGACACAACATAGAAATTGCGTAAGATAGCAATGTCCTGAAATATATATTAAATATATGAATATTTATAAATATATATATCAGATTTCTGAAATTTCCTGAATTTACATATATTTTATACCAGCTGTGGATATTTTGCCTTTCTGAAAGGATGAGGTACACCTTTTTTCAAAGAAAAGGTAGATGTAAAGATAAAGAAGATTAAGTAAGTTTAAGTTTCGATTTCGATATTACCGACACTGTCAAAATTAGAAAGCAGCATGCAATGGCTTGGAAGACAAAGTACACTGGTTCCTCGACCTGTTTATGAATAAATAGATAAGTATGAATAATATCTAACGGTAATAATAATAATAATATCTATTTAAGTATGAATGAAATAATATGAACATTTACAAACAACTTAAATTGTTTAATTAATCTTGAGTATATCTTATTATTACCATATCTTCTACATCCGGTGGAGAACAGTCTACCACAATAGCGTCATTTTTCGAATCCACAATATTTGATGCATCTCTTTTAATTCCATCAATACAAAAACTTCCATGAGATAAGACTCTCCAGGGTTGAAGTTGATGATTTTTAACAATCACATTTCCATTGCTTAAAATCCGGATCCTTCGAATTTTAATTTGACAAATTTAACCTTTGGCTCATACCCAAAATACGTAATTCAAAACCATTTCATACAAATATTTGCTGCCCTCGAATTCCATCGAGTCCAAAATGTATGGCCCAAATTCTTTACACCATCCTTCTTTGGGATGACTTGAAATAAACCGGATGGGATTAAATGTTGTATTCATATCTTCGGAAATGATTGTGTCCTCGTCTTCGTTCTCATAAATAGTCGGTTCCCAAATACTGGTAGAATTTATGCATTTAAAACCTCCATCGTCCTCGAGTGTAAAAACGGCGTTTGGTGGGCAGCATTTTCTGATACAGGGTTCAGCCCCACAAGCTTTTTCCCAACGTTTATTTTGACATATTTGAAACTCTATGTCGTCCTCTGTAATACTAAATTGTGCTGAAATTAGTTTCCGTAAAAAATTTGACATTAAATAAACATTGTTTACTTGTGTATGCAATATTTCTGCGGTTTGTACTCTTGAAATTCATAATGCAAATGTCCATCCTCAGATATTGGGTTTTGTCCGTCAGACATGTTGTAGGGAAGTGTATGCACTTCTATGACATCCATGAAAGAACAATTTAGCTGAAACTGTGTAGATCTGAAAAGCATATTTTTAAACGATTTAGTTTTAATTTCATAAAATCATTATCCATAAATCAAGCATATTACTCACCCATATGAAAAATTGTAGCCCGCAGAAAAGTCTGGCCACATGTTTGTATCATTATTACAGACATTGACAACTGAAGAGTCAATTATTGTTATCATGGACAAAATCAGGAAAGCCACGTGCTTTCCCTTATCTTTTAGCAAGTGAATCTTAATTCGTATCATGTCAGGGAAAGAAGCTTATGAAATTGTTTAATATCCTGCTTTGCTTATGCTAATTGTGATACCCGGAATTATGTTAAAAACAGTGATTTGGTGCGCGTGATGTGCTGGTGAGATTGTTCGGATCTTCTTACGCATTTCACTCTGTATGGATAATATTACTGTGTGGATCGTTTAACACCATTCGAGCAAATCCAGAATCTTCCCCAAAAGAGAGAAAATACAAAACTTGCATATTCTCAGTAATAAATATATTTAGGTAATAATTACACAAAACCTGTTAATAACAGTCTATAGTATTTCATATGATTAATAATTATTACTACAAACCACGGTCACGACACGACACGACAGAAGGAATGGAATCTTATAATATGGCAAACATACGTAAGTGCATACAATCATCTGCACAAGTCAAAGTCTAGTAGATACTCAAACTTAATAATAAAAGTGGTTGTTGAACGACTTTTGAAAAAAACCTGCGTTCAACGAAACCACTCAAATCTTGAACCTCGGAACCTGAATCTGTCGAGGATTTCATTTATATCACGTATTACCACATACGTACTTATTATTCACTTATTTTCTTGGTCCAACCAAAGTGGTAAAAAATGGAATTAGTACTTGCACAAACTCAGTACATCATCAATCTCAAATGATATTTTGTTTAGCCTAAAAGAAACTTGATTGGCAATTGGCATTGTCGTGTTGACTTGAAAATTGTAATTCGCATATCCTAAAAGTATGTACATGCTATGTTAACTAGAAATATTTAATTAATTACAGGCAAGCATTTAGTCTTAGCGTCACGTTTCATTTGGCTGTTTAAAGGATTTGGCAGGTAAATTGGTAGTCTTTGTCTCATTTTCAGCTTCACCATTCGTATACCACGTTTCGTCGATACTTCTTGGAACGTGAGACAAGGGTGGTTTTAAATAATATGCATAATCACCAAAAAGTTCAAACTTGTACAATTAGATCTGATTGATTTCATGGTGCATTTCATTGATAATATTCCAGCCTTTCAAGCGAAATCTGCCCTAAACGTTAAAAGAAAATCATCCGAGGGTGGAAACCGCACCATAGTGCGTGCAGCTCCGAGAAATGCCTCGTAAATTTGTTGTAATTATCGCAAGCTAGCATTTTTCACAAGTTTGCATGGGAAAGATTTAAAAACTCCATCTATTTTAAAGTATACGCACCCAACCTGGAGAAAATAATAATTCCAACATATCAGAAAATGCAACTTATAACATACATAAATATAATGCATAAAAAATGCATATATGTATGTACGCACAGTCTTATGTACATGCAAATGAATTCAAATAGACACTAAAAAAACTGCATTCGAATTATTAGCATAAACTCGTTCATAAACTGTAAAGATAGGCTTGGCCTTGGAAGAGTATCGATACAATCCTTACACAATTTTTGAAATTTAAATTTTGAAGGAATGGAAAGGGTGGGTCTTACTTCCTTCTTAATTATTTCCCAGTGCCCTTTGGTCCTTCCTTAGTCTATAATATGCGTGCATATAGACTCACGCGTACGTACTCACAGCCTGTATTCTTGAAACTTTTATTGCCGAATTCTACCAAATCCGTTCGCATGAAATGAAACTTCCCTCAGGCTACCAGTTAAGGATACACAGTTTCCACAAGTCTTTCTATTCTTTCACTTTCTTCTCTCTGACTTGATCGAGTTACTCGATTTTAAAACACCTCCTAAATACAGTAAGGTTTCTGTTAAACATGAAAACCTTAAGGCAGTGTCAAACCTGGGGGACTTCTTCCACCCTTACAATCTTAGTAATTGTAATTGGAATAATTTCCCCAACACGGTCTGACAAGCTGGGTAAATATTTAATAATTTGAATTTTTTACTCTTAGCTAGAATCTCAAAAAAATAAATTTACGTCAATTACCATTTCTAGAAGACAATAATTGCAACAGAACTTGGGTTCTTGGCCAAGTCAGAGATTACTTGGAACGGGACGATTTTGCGGAAATTATGACCAAAGAAATTTATGGCGAACGGATGAATCCGCTCATATTTTGGAACAACTTACAATTAATAAGTAGCAAATTTGACATTTGCCACTCCGATGAAGCAATCTACCTTCGAAAGTATTGCTACGATTGGCCACATACGGCACAGCAAGTGAATGACGATGTTGTCAAGATTTTTGCAAATGAGATCCTAATGTCTAGTAAGAAAATATGATAGGACTTAATCGCGAGTATTTAAGGGGAGGCTTCAGAACTTTTCATAATTTATTTTTAAAGGAATGATTTGAGTAAAATTTGTTCGCAACAAAAACGAGATATTTGAGAAGTTGTAGTGGTTTCATACTGTGTGAATTTTAACCGGTAGATAAATAACGAAGGCAGTACTATACTTTGGAAAAGGGGGAGGGGGGTAAATGGCCCCACAATATAGTCAACTATATATGAAAACTATTGGAACCACAATATTCAGAATTGGGGCACGAATATGACGTGCGTGGGCATTGGGCAAGTGTTTTTATCGAATATTGCCTACCTAATTTTCGTATGAAACTTGAAGCCTCCCCTTTAAAAAAACAAGACAATAATTTATTTCACAATTGTAACGTCCGGATCGAAAACTACTTCCTCAACCATTGTTTTAAAAAAACGACCTCGGGTTTTCAAATACTGTAAACTTTAAAAAATTGGTTGCGGAGGTTGTTTTATATCCCGACTTTGCAATTTCGTTATCAGTTTATACAGACCCACACCCATTCGTTTCGCAATAGGTTGACTTCACTCGAGCCACGAAACGATCTCCGCTAAAATCTGGGAAGATGGCGATGCATTATTCGAACTGTAAAAGATTTAAGAGTCCTTTATGTATTTTAAATACATTAATCAGCCATTTTTTTATAATATTCACAGGATTACCCCGATTCCAGTAAAGGAAGATGACTTTACTTATGCATACTATTACTTGGACAGCCTCCTGGCGAGACTGCTAGCCCCCTCGTATGCGGAGGAAGTTGGATGGAATTCTACCTCTAACTCGGTTATGAAGATCAACTTTAGCATGGCAATAAAAGAACGGCTGGAAAAGGGTAACAGTTTTCAGTACAATCACGATTCCTTGGTATTCTTCTTAAAGCAAAGGTTCAGAAGGTTACTAGATTGACCTTTTACCAATTCCCTAGTAATGTTGCGCAGAATGGCGAGTTTAGTTTAATAAGGAAGTTTCCTTATTAACCTTCTTTAAAAAAATTGTTGCCAGCCAAAACCATATCCGACCGACCTCTGAGGGTCAAAACCGGGTCAAGTGCTGACACCTCATCCAGTGGGATGTGAATCGATCAGTCTTGAATCAAGACTCTTGATCATACAATCATTTTAGTATATTATAGAATTATGTGAGATAAGAAATGACTGTGTAATCCCTGAAAAACTTGTATTTAATGTCTTAAACGATGCATGAGGAATCTCACAACGAATCATAATTCGGGTATGAAAATTTAAAAAAAGTATTAACAAAATTAAAAAAAATATTGGCGGTGAAAACAGCTCGAAAAAATATTTTTATAAAGGCTAGAATCAGTTGGTACTTTCGGTATTTTTCACCATTGTGAAAGTACCAACGATTTTAAGAACACTCACTTTATTTTTAACTCGACCATTCTGCTTAACCGTATTACAGTGGTAAGGTTCTAAGATACCAAAAGTCAAACAACCGTGGTGTGTCGTGGCATGCAAATTTACAGAAAAATCTGGAAATGATTTCAACAATGTAATTTTAGATAATTTGTACAACATTTTCATAAAATACGGTGCTTTCGATTTCACATTTTGTATTCTAAGTAATGGAAAATCTGCCTCATTTCACTAGTTTATTAAAATTGAGACTAAAAAATAGATCGTCAAAAATCTAACGTGTTGTGATTACTAAATATAAAAAATACACAAGCATTATTGAGAACATCACTAAAATACCATATTCATTTTGTTTTACTAAATTTTAGACGAAATAGCAAAACGCGAGGACCAGGAATGGAAGGCGAATATAACTGTCCAAGTTTCAAATATAACTGCCCAACTTTCAAACCTCACTGACCAACTGAATATATTAAAATACGATATGAATTATTTTCATACAAACCTTTCTACACCAATCGTACATCCTGATAAAGAAACAGGTAAATAAACAAATTTATTTTATTAAAGGGAGGCTTCAGAACTTTTCATAATTTATTTTTTAATTAATAGCTCGAGTAAAACTTGTTAGCAAAAAAATATGCATGATATTTCAGAACATGCAGGCATAAAATTAGTATTTCATTGCAATACATATAAGGATAACTGGAACACTAATTTATTGAGGGGCGTATGTATTTCAGCCATGAGAAATACAGAATGAATTTCGTTCAAATTTAGACATGTAATAATTCAAAATCTTCGACCCCACATAAGCCTTCGCCCTCCGCTTCCGGCCTTGTGCCTCGTTTCTTTTTGCAGCGTTAGCTAATTTGATTGCTTCATATTTTCATATGGCGTCAGCACTATAAGGTTCAATGCTTAATTTATGTATTATTTGCAGCTTCCGATTTTGAAAAATGTTCGCCAATATGCGGACCGGTCTCCATCGGAAGGTCTGGATCTTTCACGGATAATAAACCAATACGAGATTGCTGCTACATCAATTACCAGTATGTCGATGGTTACTGTCAACAGCATACACCTCTGTGTATGTCCCCAGCGGATAGTAATTAAGGATTTACTTATTTATTTTCACGCAATAATCTAAATAATCGCATTATTTCTGTGAATATAATAATTTACATATTAATAGGGGCTGTCCATAACCCAATTGAAGCATGTGACAGTTTATGCAGCCACCGAGGATTCGAGGACCAGTTAAACGTCTGTTGTGGCCGACATGGTTTCGCATTCGGATTTTGCGATAACTGGAACCACGCCGTTTGTTGGAAGTTCATACAATAAATATACGAATATACAATATGTTTATTCTAAAACACAAATATCATTTTTATGAATGACACAGCTTCATGAAATTCAAGTTTACCAATTTATGTATATCTTGCATGCTTTATTTCCCAACCAAAATTGCAAATGCAGTTAAATTATTAATTTAATTAAGTACTCTAGTTTTTAAAACTTTCCATAATATCCACCAGTTGTAGTAACAACGGGTTCTTTACCCGAAATGGGGTCACCACCTCCAGTACTTCTGCTCGTATTAAATCCAATGCTCGCCAAGATGGCTTTGGAGCAGAGGAAAAGGATGTTGCCTCCAGGTGTCGGGGGAAAGATCCGTTCCAGGACAAGGATGAAGAGGCTGAGACAATAGCCCAAGATAAGAATGATGAAGGCCGTATATACGTCGTTAAATCCTGCAAAAAACAAGGTTTAAGCAATTATAAACAAATGACACTGTATATTATTAGATTATGTAGAAATTGACCTAGTGGGTCCTTTGTCGATCCCGTCTTTTCCAAACACATGACAGCCGATTGCCGAAAATATGTCTCTAACAGTCTGTACCTTATTCCACGTTCATACATTATGAGAAGTCTGCAGTAGAAACCCATAATGGAAAATTGAGATTCAAGGAGCAAAAATTTGTAAGGTTATGATTTACCGATGATTAAAAAAGTCCTTGAAAGGTGACCCTTTACGAATGAAACTGCCTATAAACACGAAATAAATAGATATAATTAACATAAATATTTGTATACTTAACATGAAAGTACTGACCTCCTCGAATTGGTCGCCCCCCGATAGGAACGCGAGAAATGGAATTACAAATCGCGGTATCGTTCATTTTTTCTTTCGCCACTGGATAGAAGAAGTCCGACGCTCCGATGAAGGCGGATTGTTCGTTGGGAGAGAGCACTTTGGGGAGAGCGACCTCGGACCTTATCGACCTTTTTTCTTGCGGGATGCATGGAATTACTCCTTCCGATTCTAATTTCTAGATTTGCACATATTATTTACCACTTGTTACATTATGTGTGAGAAACTTTTGTGCACAAATTCTACTTTTTTGGGGGTTGTCTCACCTGGATAACTGTACAAACCACACAAAAAGACATTATTATTCCAAGTCATGAATTAAGAATTATGATAAAACACATACCATACATCGCGTTGATGGTTTGATTATCCTGAAAAATAGTGTACCCGCGATTCACGATGTCATCCAAATTTCTGATCGGCATTACTTTCACCGATAAAATGGAGACCAGGGCGGCAGAGTAGGCAACATATGAAACTAAACCGGTGATAAGGGCGAAGATGAAAATGATTTTCATGCAGGTGGACTCCGGACACACGTGCCAGCCTTCGAGGTGAATAAATTATGATAGTGAAAGTTAGTAAGTATCAAAATGCTAAAGTGAGGGGGCAAATTTCAGTGTTTACCTTGCTGACATATTGCACCTGCCGCCCAAATAATTAGCTCCTGAATTAATATCGAATCATTTTCATGCATCGTTTGGAGTCGTCGCTTCACAATGGACAATGCAAACATGGCAAGCACAATGAGAATCCACGTGGACAACATTGTGAGCCAGAGATCACGGGTGAATGCATTGATGAAAATGTCTCGGAAGGAACTTGACGGTGGTTGAACGAAGAAGCCCCACAAGCTGAAAGTATTTTGGAATTGAAACTGATATATCGTCGCTGTTCGTGCAAAAGTTATTGGTTGAGAAACCAGTCAGAAATAGAAATTGTCGGATTAATTTCTGGTAAATATGAGACTTCATAACTATAATATGGTGTCACATTTTCCTGCATTTTCATCTGACAACTTATGTGATGGGGTGACAAATGTGCAAAGACAAATGTGCAAACGACTAATGTGCAAAGACATTTGTGCAAACGATAAATGTGCAACCTGACAAATGTGCAGCCCGATAAATGTGCAAACGATAAATGTGCAACCGATAGATGTGCAGGAATTTTTCCAACAAATAGTGCAATATATCTTGATATAATTTACACTTCAAATCAAATTACATCTTATCAGAAAACTAAGAATTCTGAAACATTAATTTTGTGGTGAAGCTTATGAAGCTGGAGATCTTATAATGCAGATTTTATACTTATTAAATATTACTAATCATCATTATAACGGGGTTGACCCCTGTCAATTTTATAATAAAATTCCCGTGCCGAATCACTGTAATGCTAAATTTAGCTAGTGACAATTAAACTTTAGTTAGGGACACCCCGCGGGGACAGAATTTAAAATAACAGCAAATAAGTAAATCCCGAATTATTTCATTGAATATCAAGATATATTGCACCATTTGTTGGAAAAATTCCTGCATATTTATCGGTTGCACATTTATCGTTTGCACATTTATCGTTTGCACATTTATCGGGCTGCACATTTGTCAGGTTGCACATTTATCGTTTGCACAAATGTCTTTGCACATTTGTCGTTTGCACATTTGTCTTTGCACATTGGTCGGGCCACCACTTATGTTTCCAATTGGTTTTGAAGGCGATAATTTCTGCGAACAGCGACGGTATGTACAATTAATTCAATTTTAGAATTTATAGTTTTGGATTTCATTCCCATACTTTGTGTAATATGTTGGATGCAAAAACTGAATATATCGAGCCCGATAAGGCAGCACTTCAGATGCAGATATGGAAATGTCTGCTTCACCAGAGATAATCTGTTGTCCCATCCCTGATAAAGTATTATTTCGTAGAGCCAACCATCCAGTACCAACGCTGACCACGATTCTGGAAGAGAAATTGGATATCATTTTGTGTCATCGTGATAAATATTTGGATAATTTTTCAGCTCATTACGAAAGATTGAACGATTCTCCCAGAAACTTGACTTGGTCGGCTTCGTAGCCACTTTCAAATGAATCGTTTTTCGGACTAAACTTGGCTCTAAATGGATATCCGTGCTGCAAATGGAAACACCATTTATTATCGATAAATGAACACTTGTAATATTTCTAGTAAATAAATAGGTCATACCGCTGACAGACATTGGTCAACAGCAAAGTCAGCGGAGAAAGTCCAGCCATGAAATATAATTGAGAATTTTTGATTATAATTCGTATATCTGACAACCATTCTTATTTAGTAAAGTAACGTAAATTTATGTACCTGCTACCGTCGACAAAGGAGCTGCTTTAAAGTTGGATCTTCGAATAACTTTCTGAACCAGGGTCAATCCCCGCTGAAGATCAACGAGCTCAATGAAGGACGCATTCTTTATCGAATAAAATTCTACAATCCGAATTTCTGCAAGTTCCGAGCTACAAGTGGTGATATTTGTAGGAATTTGTACGATAAAGGGACCACGACTCGTAGTACTTTTTTGAGTCTGATTTTGTTCAGACGCATTGTTGGAAATCTTCGCATTAATTTTTGGATCAACACACTTCAGAAACGTAAAGTATACATCACTGTCAATGTCAAATCCGGCAGTCACGCCTGGTTTTTTCGAAATTACTTCCCCCTCTTCCTTCTCAGTGAGAGGATTTTGCCAAGCGATGACGAAATAGGGTTTCAAGTTTGTTTCGTGCCGATCCCCTATTTCGGAAAGAATGCGACGAATCTATACAAAAATATGGATACATATTTATTTTTGTCGCTACCAGCGTTTCTTATCAATGAAATATCATTTACGTTATCTAAAACAGACTCCAAGGATCCCAACTGGCTCAGATTAATCATAATTGCGACAGTCACATTTTTAAGCGTTTTCTCATTTTTGATATGGTTCCAAAACGTGCTCTTTCCAGACTGATCCTTCTCCGAAGATTTTAAAGATTCGTCTTCTTTACGGGCTTGAGATTGAGGATTTATTACTTCCTCTGAAGAATTAATTGGGTAGTGCGCCATTTCTCGGCCGCTTGTTGTCCCCGTCCAAAAATCAGAGCCTGCAAAAATCCTATTCTAGTTTAACAAATACATAAATTACAGCTTTCACTCACCACCGCTTTCTCCATTCAGCACGCCAAAAACGATGTCGAAATTTCTAAAATAGTAGTTAAACTCGTCTCCGAAGACGTGACTGATGTCGTAATTTGCTGAAATTGATGCTACAGTTATACTAATGTATAGCATGGCCAATACGAAGGAAGGACACCCCATTGTTCGATGGTTAACCATAGTCCGTATTAAATAGTATATCAAAAAGTGTCTATTCTACATTCTACAAGGTGTAAAAAGTGATTGACGATATGTCGACTTTGGATGGTAAATTCGCCTAAATCGTTACTATACATTTGGTGGTCGAGAAAGAATGAATACGTGGCTGGGAAATGGAGGAGGTGCACACCACTCCTTCAAATTGATTGTATTCAATTAGGGAAATTTGAGTTTCTTATTATTGGAGTGCTTTCTTGCTTTCTTTTCTCAGGTCATGTGTAGTTTCCCTATTAGTTGAAGGGGCAAATGTATGCACATAGATAGATACGTAACATTATTGGAAGTGGGTCGCAAAATGATGTGTTACGTTTAACCGATGAGAAGGAGACATTTAGAACGTTCAATAATTGTCGGCCGGTATTAGTATTGACACTCCTTCTCTTTTATACTCTAAATTGGGTGAATTTTAATGATATTCAGGAAAAAGAGGGTGAATGTACTTACTATAAAAGGACGGACATAGTATCAATCAATTTGAGTATAAAATAATATTTTGTGTAACTTGCCTTCGAGACACTCGTATTTTTTAATATTCGTAAAAATAGTTCAATTTTAACCAAGAAGAATGAAGTTTTTTAGGTATTGCTGTTTAAGAAAACATTGACATTAAGTTGACATCCGGACGTGTTGGCAGAATGTATGTATTTGTAGAAATTATTCAGAACGTACATATGTAAATACAGTGGCAGCGGAAGTCGTGGGGGCATCTGGGGACATTAAGATTGTAAGGGGTTTATATAGCATGGACAAATGATGAGTACATCGAATAACCTGGAATATTGTCCCTATGTCCCCACGCTTCCGCAGCCACTGCATAAATGCGTATATCAAGAGTGACAAATATTTTAAGGATTTCACAATTTATTGCTTTTTATTGCCTTTAGTTTAATGATTTAATGTCACATTCAAAATCTAGCCTGAGCCCAACGTTTGATATCATTCTTCGAAATATTCGAAGATTTCCTTCTATTCAAATAATAGTTAATGATGTTTGTATGAGAAGTGGTCTCTCCGTTTGTATTATACTGCATTATGCTTGCTAAAGGTGCAGCTGCGAGCGGTTCAGGATTTGGCAATAATTTCGTACTGTTCCACATTCGCCGAAATAATTGTTCCGCTACAAGAATTGCACATGACAAAATGAATCCTGATAGAAGAATTGCATACGCCGTGAAGACATCTTTGCCGCCGAGCGGTTTATTAAAACCGGACCCCCCGGTCAAGCATTGCACCGAAGTTGTGACAAAATAATCGCGCAATATTCGGTTGTTCACTCCACGTTCGAGCATTTGGAGAATTCTGAAAAAAATCCACTTTTCAATGATAAATTCCTACACAATTCCTCGATAATATTACTTAAAATTGAATATGCTTCGAGTTGGACTTGCACGCTTTACAAACCTAAATTTGTACATACACAATTTATCATTTAGAATCGACTACAAATATATGCCGATTTTTAGTAGTATATTTTTATACATGCTCATGATAACTGTTCTCGATCCAATCCTGACATCGGAAAGCACACTACAAATGTAGTTTTCCGACAACCCCATCGTCTGCAAAATTGGGAAAAGAGAATCCGATATCGAAACCATGGCCGACTTTGATTTAATCATTTGTTCAAAAGTTTTCTCAATGTCGACATTTCTCATTTCTTCTGGAACGGTGGGGATTATGCCGCGCTGTTGCAGGCCCTGTCACATAAAATACAATTTTCACCACCGATAAGTACATAAACTGCATAATATTCTTTCACCTTAACAAAATATTTCGTAGTAGGAATATGGTTATCGTTGTAAATGAAGAACTCATCTCGTATCAAGTCATCCCAGCTTTTTATCGGGACCACTTCAACGGACAAGATGGAAACTAATTGAGCAGAGTAGGCTATGTAGCAGAAGAAACCGGTGAACCATCCGAAAAAGAAGATAATCCGGGTTCCAGTGCATTTCGGTGTAAAATACCAACCTGAATCAATATTTGTACTTACACAACGCCTCACCTTCACTTCACTTCACATATTATTATGCAACATAATAGCGTCAAAAAAATGTGGGCACCTTGTTGACACATCGCACCCGTGGCCCAAATCGATATTTCATCCGACATTACGACATCACTCCAGTCCAAGCATTTGAACCAGTCCTCTTTAAAGTAGATAAGGCAGGCGAGATGCATCGATAAGCAAATGAATATCCAAAGGGCAAGCATTGTAACCCAAAGTTCGAGAGAAAATCCGGACGTGAAAACGTCTCGGATTGAACTTGCTGGAGGCTGCTTAAAGTACGCTTCCATCCTAATAAATGCCAAAAATAACGTCATTTAAAACTAGTAATGAACCCTAATTAATTAGAAGTAGCGTTTAATTATACCCCAACTTGAAGGTTGGGAGAAGATATGAAAATCCATCCGGACCCGTGATTCGGTATTCCAGAAATTCCGTGGAAGAAATTGAAATGTCTGCTAAATCCTTGTTGATCTGGGCTGCCATTCCAGTCAAAGTTCCGTTCGGGCCTTCTCGAACGTATCCTTTTCCTCGTAATGCCTGCTCACTATTTTAAAATTAAAACTGTCTGAATAATTAAAGATATGTTTGCAATATTTTTTGTTGAATGTTACGTGAAGTTTAAGGCATCTTTCAAGTATAGGTAAAACTTGACTTCGAACCCTCCGACGAATTTGTCTGTGGTATTGTCGTCATCAAAATCCGTCGCTACTTCGTAGCCATGAACATCCTGCGTGGTTTGTCAATAGTCAATTAGCTTTTTCTATGTGAAGAATAATAAGCAGGGGGCGGATGTGTATTTACATATGTGTATTTACATATCGCTGAAATATTTATTTAATATTTGCGAAATGTGTACAATTGCAAGTACAATTTTGGCAAAATTTGCACTTCTGTATATAATGGCTCTGATTTTTTGCCGTCGAATTTCTTTGAGCCCAAAAATTTCGCCTCGTATCGTTGAAATATTTACAAAGTATGCTTATTTTAAAAATATATCTAAAACTTTACATATGCATTTGTAAATGACTGAAAACTTCGAAATATGTAACAATGCGTGGAAATATTTTGAAATTTTTGTGATCTATAGGAGTTAGGGAAGACACCTACAAAGTTTGACCGTCGGTCGTCATCAAATGGAAATGTTGAAAATAAATAAGTACATATCCGCCCCCTGAGTACAGATACTAATAAAACAATGCTAACCATTGAAACTGCAACCATTACTTCTTTTCGGAAATCTGACCGTCTGTTATCTTTCTTAACGAAACTGTAATAATTTATCCTCTCCTCTGGATAAATCCCAATCTTTTGTACGATTGTCACATTTTTAATGTTATATATTTCGATAACACTAAAATCATCTACTGAATTGGTATTGTTGAACATGATGTAAAATCCAGCATTGATTGGAAAATTCCAATTGTAATTGGTCTTCTGAACAAAATCGTGCACAACCTTTAACGGTTTCGATATTACATCGTCTGTCGAATGTTTTACAAGTATCAAAGGTGCCCATGTGGATTTGCGAGTTTGTAGAATTGAAACCTAAGACGTGCAAATAAATAGTTTTATGAACGAAAAATACGTAAAATTATTCAGTACTTAACACCAATACCTGCTGAAAAAGTGTGTCGAGCAAAGATTCGTTGAAAAACTTTACATTATAAACGATGCACAATGGGTGAAATGGAATGATAAGATTTTCCGCATTAAAAATCTCCAGGGAAGGTATATGAGCCGTCTCACTATTTCTGGACGAGGCTTAATTTTTGAAGTAATAAATTTAGCTTTTAAAATTATTTTATTACTAATAGGAAAAATAATGCATAATTGCTGTACCTTTCTCGAATCCAATATGAAATAAATCATATTGCGACAAGTCTTTGTCTCCTTGATCGATAATATAGTTTTGATTATTTTGTAGTAATCCTAGCTTTACAAAACTTAAAATTGCAATTTGAGTTAGCAACTTCATTCAACTAAATTTTTAACAGGAATTTCACAATCGACACTTTTTCCATGAACTTTGAATTATATACATAATCCTTGCAAGAAGAACGTTAAAATGTGCATCAAGTGATGTAAAATTGGTAAAAAGTGTTCCAGTCCGGCATTAATTCACTGGAGAGAAGGAGGTTTATTAAAAATAAAAATACGGCCATTATGTCATGAATTTTTATGTAAAATTCATGGATAGCATTCTAGTTCACCCGGTACAACAATAATGCAGGAATAATGATTGCTGGTTACGGATGATGATGACATATCTGTTAAGTGAAAGCCACCCATTATTCGGAACATGCGATACAAAGAAGGCATTGCCATAAATGGATTTTACGGTGCAAGAAACTAACAATGCGATGGTGTGAAGTGTAACCCTCCGATTTGGCTGAAATTTTGAAATTAGGTGGTCCATGTCATTACAACTAACGTTTCTTCAGCCAGTTTGTGCGATGGTTGGAGTTACTCAAAATATTTGAGGTCAAAGTTGAAAAAACGGCTAACTTTTTTCAGGCGGAGTGAGAAAACTCCACTTCCATTCTCTTCCCCTCGCATTGATTTTATTCAGGTTTCTCACTCACACATACGCCTTCATACACAAGCATAAGTAGTGATGCAAAATAACAAAAATAAAACATTATTATTACCGCTTAAATAGGAATTAACAGGCCTTATACTCGCGAAATTTAATTCATAATTGAATAAGTGAGCTTTTTACTTCTTTGTATTAAAAATTCAGACAAACATTAATTTATAAATTCATCAACGGGAAATAAACATGGAAAAACTTACTTTCCATTTCGAAAGCGTTGGTTATTCTGATTTCCAATTCATTTGAAAACAAAGACCAAGACGCATGTGCAATGAATAATTAATGTTTTTCTATCATAAATTAAATTAACATTGATGAAATCTATAATTTTTCGGAGTTAAAATCAATGCGAGGGGAAGAGAATGGAAGTGGAGTTTTCTCACTCCGCCTGAAAAAAGTTAGCCGTTTTTTCAACTTTGACCTCAAATATTTTGAGTAACTCCAACCATCGCACAAACTGGCTGAAGAAACGTTAGTTGTATTGACATGGACCACCTAATTTCAAAATTTCAGCCAAATCGGAGGGTTACACTTCACACCATCGCATTGTAAGTCGTGTCAAAGGGTGGCACAAATTGATGACAGTTTCTGAATAGATTTTATCAATGGTCTTCTTTTGAAATTATAACAACCAAGACCACAAGCATAATTTATCGTCATCCAATCCACGCAGCAGTTTCTGTACTATAGCAGGATAAACCGTGTCAAACAAACATAAAAAAGTGGTGTTAAAGCGATTGAAATTTCCTTTAAAGTGACGCCATATACCTAAATTAATGTTAAATGGACAGACGGACAGACAAAACGGTCACAAAAGCCGCTGACGCTCTTAATAACCCACATAAATTTTAAAGTATGCATTTTGTTATTGTTGTCGAACACGATTTGAATAATAAGGCTTCAAAGGACATCAAATTATATATCCGTACATACTGCGTACGTACGTCAAGTCTAAGGTTATTTTCCGAACAAATAACATGTTCCATTGTAGACTTGCACATACTGGAAATCTGCAAAAATGATGATAACAAAAGTTTTCACTTGGTTTTATAAAACAAATATTTCGCAAACTATTTTATTCGGTCTGTTAACATCAAACCGTAGCCAATGCAAATTTTCTGCCTTACTTTTAAGTGAACTCACGGTAGCATATCATCTGTCTGTCTGTAAATGCGTAGTCATGCTAGGCGCACATCGAACAAAGACAAATCGTCGTTGCTACACTGCATTGTAACATTGTAAAAAAACAAGATTTTTAAATAATCTTTGCCGTACGTGTTTACTAAAATAAAGTAAACAAAGCATCTCATAGAAAGTAAACGCAATTTTAGTAACTTGTCGGTATCACGTGCCCTTTACTTTAGTAATGACTTAATCAACGCATATTTACAAATTTCAACGAGTAAAACTCTATAATTAATCTTTTAGAGGTGTACGCAAATTTAAATTTTTAATCCGTCAGTACTTATTTAAAAGCTCGCTCATTCATTCCCATTTTGTGGCACGCGAGGCGAGAAGAAGTTTCAAAGTCACGATGATGTGCCACACGCCAGCCACACCACAATCGTCGACAATGATGAATTTCACTTTAAATAACAGGAATAATTTGTAACTTTCGATAGAAAATGAGAAGCACAAATGACAACCGAATTTGAATATCTAATTGCATTATTTATTATAAGAATTTAAACAACAACTTGTTAAATAATTAAATATCTGCAAAAACAAAAGCAATAATTCAGGCAAGATTCGATCTGTTGAAAGTATATTTTCATCCCAATCTATAGGAAAACCTTAGATGCGGCACGATTCGTAATAATGATCACAATCCATTAAGTAATTTCTCGCTACCCTAATTAATCTCAATTTTCATTAAAGACGACCACCATACTATTTAAAATTACCCCATAATCAATCACAAACTACAGAAGTACAATGAACCACCCACCTGCAAACATGAATCGTACCTACATAAATATGTACCGATGGTCAGAAGATGTGTAACATGTAGTTGTCTGCTTATTTACCTGTCTACCTTATTGTTTTGATTTGATTTTAAATTGATATTTCTGAGGTGTTACAGGTACATACATACATACATTTGTACACGTAACAATACATGTACAACAATACACGTGCTTGTGCTTGTGCACCACCACGGCGGAGAGTGGTTTATATTTATGATGAGTTTTGCACAACGATTCGAATCTGAAAGTGAAAGCGATGGGTTTACAGTAGCATTTAACCCTTTGTACCTGCCAATTAGTAACGTTGGTAGCTTTTCGCTCAAGGGTGGGGAGTCAACGGGAGGAAACCTTGGCCTATGAAAAATTATTATTCGACAATGTCTGCCTGTACATATGCAGAGACAAAGAAATGCTCAACTTCGTTTTTAAATTGACTCAGTCTGTTTAATAATTTGGAGTACTAAACAACTTCAATTTTTGCATTGACACAAGAAACGTAGAGTTAAATTTAAAAATTCTACAAGTTGTGGGAAGAGTTATACTTCAATAAAAATGGGGCTAATCACAGGAAAAATTATGGGTGTGCTATTCGTCGTTGGGCTTGGTTCCGCAGTTCCTTACCGTTCCACCTACAGCAACAATTACCACATGAGCAGTTTTACAACGCCCAACAGCTTCAATGCAAATACTCAATCTTTCACGCAACCTCAAGAACAAGAACAACCCGACCAATGGAACAATGATGGAGGGTATTATGCAACCCCGACGTATTACAGGGTAAGATTTCACGAAAAAAGCTGATAATTTTCAGCGGTGGGCAAATACTTTGTCAAAATAGAGTATTTGAGCTCCGTTCTTCTCAGAGTTTGAATTTTCAGGGTTGTTACACCCTCAAAAAGACACTGCATGAAAAATACAGCAGTCACAGGTCACGCGAAAATCTAGGTTTTGTCAAGAAATGGACTTTTCACGATAAAAAAAAATGTAGTATTTTGACGACGATACATCAATTTTCTCACAAAACTGACTGCTGTATTCTCTATCCAGATTCTCTTCTGTATTTTTCCAGTACTTTGCTAATTTTTAGCCATTAATATTACTGACATAAATTCCTAGAACAACCGGCAAACCGTACCCCAAAATCAGCAGTATCAACAACAATACCCAATAAACGCCTTTGAAGATACCCAAGAGCAGCAGCATCCTCAGTACCGTTACCATCAGCAGCAGCAGTACCGACAAAATCGAAACCCATCCTACTACGGAACTGGAGAGCCCCAAAGAAATCCCCCATTTTCTCACGAAGACGACTCCTCGCCACCCTTCAACATGCCCATGATGGCACCAATTCGGAGGATGTATCACGTCTACGAAGACAACGTGCGTGGATTTGCCAAGCGATTTAGAAACATGGTCTACGCTCCGATGCGAATGATGGGATAAACAAGTCGCAGTTGAGGCGAATACTTAATAATCGTGAAAACAAAGAAAATAATTCTGAACGTGATGTACATATGTACCTATTAAATATTTTCAAAAAATCTCAACTGTAATCTTAATGGTGAACGTGGTCATCTTGTAGCAATTATGATTAATTAGTTTGTGCTACTACATTCATGGTGTTGAGGTGGATGCCCATCGTCTCACTTTAACTCATTGTCTTGTAAAATGAGATACTCATCTCGACCTCAAAGGCACGCTCATGCAGGTGGATTGGATTGCATCGCATTTTTATTGCCAGTATATTTGCCTATGAAGTCTTATTAGAGTTAATGTTCTGTTAAATCTTGGTTGATGAGGATCTGTAAAACCGTAAGTGAAATGCGGCTATTCTTCTGTCTGACTTATGTCTTGTTGTTGCACCTTAATCTACAATTGTACGAGCTTGAAATTAGCAAATTAAGTATTTATCTTTACAAAATGAAAATATGGCAGGGCTCTAAAAATGTAGGACCACTTAAGATTATGTTATGTACCGAATATGATTGTGCACTTGAGGTCGTCTCATACACTAGATTTTTGATATGTATCTACTTAATAATGGTCAAGTTACTATATTTTAAATTTTACTGGTTTCAGTGAATTTTGTTATTTTACTTTCGAATAAATTTTAAATATTTTGATAAAAATTTTAAATTACTAATGACTTTTTAACAAGCATAGCAAATGTTATCAGTAACCGGGACCTGACTGAGGTACAAGTGTACTTGTCTATGCCAATTATATATAGAAATAGTCATGCTATCTTGGAAATCATGTCCCACTTGAGACGGATCACTGACTGCTTAAATTTGACAGCAAATATTTGTTTACTATTGAAGTTTTTGTGGAAATTTACAAGCATTTGTATCAGTGGTTTTATCAGCAGAACTCCACCCGGCGAATTTTATGAAGCGTTTGCAGAAGGGTAATTTTAGCTGTCAGTAAACAAGCAATTCAATTATATAAAATCTGCAAATCTCCAGTTTCTGCACATGCCAAAACTGCTTTTAAACTAGAAAAAACACACACTTAATCATCTTGATCCATTTTGGACACGTTTAAATTTAAGATAATTACTGTTAATTAGTACATTAGTTCACCTATTAATTTGATAAATTGTACATACTGTATTCCACCCTTGTAGGACTCGTGTTGCACATTTAAATTGCATTAAATCATTTTCCGAGCAAATTATGAAACTCGATACAGCAATTCTTGCATGGCACACGAACATCTTTTCATGCCTGACCAGTAACCCAAGACGATTGTCGTCATTAGCTAAAAATCTTGCCAAATTGAGACGTATTAAATGTAAAGTCAGGGCTGCATGCATGATGCACAACCTTTTTGCTATCAATCTTATATCGCTGGCGTCAACCAATTACTTACGTGCGACAGACTACGTAAACGGTAAACAAAGCTGACCCGCAATATATCTTTGCATGTAAAAATTAAATTAAATATATCTTGAAATCATGTGTACATATATTTACATGGATTTATTTCTTGCCACGTTTGTTGTGGGTCTTGAATTTTAGTGGTAAACAGAAACTGACATATTTTCCATAACCTTGGTCTTCTGAGGTATACACAGTTATACATACATACATTCACATGTCATGCACTATAATATTTAACACACTGTTTGTGCATCAGACATCCACAACAATATATATTTTATGTCTGAATGACATGAATGAGTCACAAATTACACTATTACCTTGCCTTACATTGAGCTTAATAGGATAAGAGCATGATATGATCTTGTGCTGGTTCTTGATCTCTCATGTACGTACATACGCATGCACAGTGGTCAATGGCTTATGTAGAATGGAATTATTATTATTGTAATTGGTTAGTTGGGTTAATAGGAATACATATTGTTCGCTAATCTTAACCATATTGTTGCTCCTGCACTTTTTTTCTTTCTCGTTGAAACACTTTTATTCATTAATTTATTTGCGCCCCTGATACCTTTGCTCACTTGTTGGCCGTACATGCATAAGAAGATCAACCGGACATCAGATTTGGTGAATTGGAACGACTTGATATAAGTGAGAAGATTTTACACATCTTTGGGATTCTTTGCAGAAGGTCTGCAAATGAGAAGTTGTCCTCATCCTCGAGAACAATTACATAACTAAAATTTTTTAAGGAAACATGGCGAAAATATATTTGTGGATACTTGCGATTCTCGGAGCCTTAAACGTTGCGGTAAGATATTGCAAAATGTAATGTGAATTTACGGATAAAAGTGTACATATTTTTATATCGAGTGCATGGTTATCCTGCTTGATTGATTTAGCTTGGGAGACTTTTGTACAGAGGTGACGTTTTGTTGGAGAATGTTCGCATGTTTGTTTCGCCATACTTGACCCCGTCAAATAATTCAATTATCAGATACCTTTAAGGTTGCAATTAACCACATTTGTAGTTAGAATTTTTATAATTTCGTACTAATTTTTGTCAAAATTGGAATAAAGTTTTAAATGTTTTGATTTCATCATGTATGAATAAATAGGCTGCAGCTCCGCATCATCACGATGACACCTTAGATCCAGTCATCTCCTTTTTAAAGCAGCTTCGAAAGGCGAGGAAACATGGGGGCGGTGGTGGGGGAGGGATTCTGGGGAATCGAGATGAAGATGTCCCATTAACAAGTCAGCAAAGTCAACAAAGTCAAAGTTCAAGTCAAAGTCAGCCCACTGTCCCAATTCTGTTCCCGTCGGGTGGGGGTGGCTCGTCCGGTGGATCCGGATCAAATCTCAACGACCAAAGGATCACGGATCAGATTTTAGCCAATTTTCCCAGACCCACTTCATCTCCGCAAGATATTACGAGAATCAACAGTGGAGTCAGCACCATCTTAAATGGTACGCATTTAATAAAAATTAAGTAGGACTCGATGACTCATCCCCAAAATAGTCAAAATCAGCACATTTTTAATCATTTCTCAGCTCTAAGAACTTATTTTAAAATTCTGGAGTATTAATTTGTAGAGCAAATCGTTATGAATTTAAAAAAAATACACTAGATTTTTACAGTCTTTGAAGAAATCTCAAGTTTAAGATGTGATGATTTTGAAGATTTTGGCGATGTGTCAAAAGTCATGCGTTGAATATTATTTATTAAACGTTAAATATTTTGTATGCTAAATTGAGATTACCTATTTTTAGGCGTGGCTAGATTCGACTTAGGTCAAATATTGCGGGGTGCATTTATATTCCCAACAAACAACAATGTGAAAAGTGTGGCGAACAATGTGCTTGATACCATTTTTGGCCCACCAGGTAAAAATTAAATTCAGTTTCTGAAGAGTAGATGAAAAATTGTTATAAATTATTAATCTACTAATTTCTACCAAAAACTAGGCGGCGGCGGAGGTGGTGAAGGATCGTCATCGTCTGCTGGTGGAGATTCTACTCGTACCAGAAACTAATTCATTTACACCAAATACATAAAAATACAGAGAGCTATATATTTTTTCCTATTTTACAACTATTATTTATTAGTCTCATTCATGGGTCATCTCTTCTTTATTTATTTGGTGTAAATGAAAATGATGTTTGACCAGTGCATACAAACATGTGTAGTCAACACATAGTTAAAATCATTTAAATTGTCATTTTCGAATTGTTTAATTACTAAATGTATGTAATTAGAGATTCCATAACCATAAATATTTTATTGGGTTATGCAATTAAATAAACGATCGAATGTGATCAATTGTGTTGGGCACACAAATCTAGTAACTGATTGAAACAGAGATATCGTTTAAATGATTAACGAAAATTAGACAAAAGATTCATGATATATAAATTGTTCGATAAAACTTTTATTCACATTAAAAACAACCAATCTCAAAAAACCACTGCTGTAACAAGATAACATTTTTACACATCAAGGAAACATTCCTGAAAACCTTTGAACGAGGAATCTCCTGGACAACTGATCTCGAATATTTTTCCAGTATCTGGCTCATCCACAAGGCTTTTATCTAGTTCAATGGAAGTTGTGGTGACATACAGGCGGTCGTAATTTGTCCCCCCAAACGCTACGGACGTCGTATTGTGCACTGGTACCCCAATTTTCTCCAACAATTTCCCATTTGACCCGTCAATTTTAATAACACATGCTCCCTTCCAACAAGCCACCCAAACATTGCCACTAACATCGAGACATAATCCGTCCGGATATGAACCGTCAAGTTCGGAGTGGTCTTTAAAATCAAAAAATAACTTTCGGTTTCCTGCAAATCAATTAAATCATGAATATTATTATTACTTGTGACTAAAATATTTAACACTAATTATCCATCAGTAGTGAATTAATTACCCAACTTTCCATTATTGGCATCAAAGTCAAACAAATTGATCACTCTGCCAGTTAAGTCATTCCAAAAGAGTTTTGTCTGCTCTTTGTTAAAGCCAAGTCCATTCGGCAAGTCAAAATTTCCAGTTTCCGTAAAAGAATCCAACATCCCTTGAGTTGTACTCGACTTTGAAAGTTTGTAAACTTCGCCTGCAAGCAAACATAAATTAGCACGCATGATCATTGTATGGAAACTTAAGAAAATGCAAATCTCATAATTTTTACCTTTGTCTTTAGTCATAGTCAACTTGCCCAAATCCTCAATTCTCCCACTTCCCGTCCACAGCCTCCCTTTGCTGTCACACTTGCCATCATTGTAGCTAATTAGTGGATTTTTACAATCGTACAAGACCTTCGTTATGGCATTCTGATCCCAATCGAATTCTACCAATTTTCCAGAGGAAAGTGTAACCAAAAATTTGTTCGTTGAAGATGCGTATGGAATGGAAATTACGGTGTATATTATCTCTTCATCCACTGGCTTGACTTCTTTCGAGGTGATTTTTCTCGTCACAGGATCAAAAATGCTGACATGTTTCCCGAAACAGTCGGTAAGTACGAGTTGTCCCCTTCTATTGTCCCACAGAGGAGATTCTCCGAATAAAACGGCGTCGTCCGAAGCTAGTCCCACTTTGTATGCCATTTCTAATTTCGTAAAATTTTATGAGTTACGAGACCACAAGATTGAGAGTGTGGTTTGGACAATCGATTAATTGTGTGTGATATTTATGTAACTTAATTAAATAAATATAAACTTGGCAGGTTGGAATCTTGTAAAATGAACATGCAAATCTGCTGGTTTGCTACATAGATTTGAAGGTCACGAGCTGTGGTTAAAGTGGCAAATATAATTGATTTTAATCTCAACTGTTTGTAAATAGATGTACATACAACAAGTGTCCAGCAGCTTTTTTTATCCCATTATTTTTTACAAACTGTGTATGCAGTCGGTTTTTGCTACAGCCAAGGTTAAAATAATAAAATGATGTGAGACTGCATGTGAATTGTGTAATGAAAGAAAACACATACATAATTTCACAGTCAAACACTGAGTATAAAATACCCGGGTATATTTTATGCTTCCGAATAAAATCGAGTCTTTACATAATATAAAATATCACTCATGCATTTGGAGAAATTCTGTTACGTATTTATGAAGCGTACTTATACAGACATTTACGTGTGAATAACATGCATGAAAAATAATAATATACGTAATAATCTACATTTTTCAACGGATGTGAACTGCATCAATAATTATGTTGCATTTTCTATTCATCACATTTAAATGCTTTAAATTTTAAACCCATGCAGTTTTTTTGTGAGGAACTTTTGGTTGGATCTGCATGCATGACAAAATTAAATAGTTGCATGCGGATGAGCACATTGCGTGGTAACGTCGTGATTTGTCCTGTTGTTTGTCTCGTTGCGTGCAACTTTGCTTTAACCCAACTGATAAATATATGTACATACTTTAGGTCAGGTTAAGTTTTGTCTGAGAATGGAGGTCTCCCAGCGTATGCTCACAGATTTTGACCAAATTAGTGTCAATCGATCACAAATTTCATTAGTATGAAATTTGCAGTAGACACGATCTCCGGTCAAGTTTGGCATAGATATTTGCATCCGAAGAGAGAAAACGTGCTATAAAATTGACAGATTTTACACTTTAAAGATTTACTGTGCGTTTTTTTCCTCTTCGGATGCAAATATCTCTGCCAAACCTGAGAATTGGCAGATTGTCGTTTGCAAATTTCATATTAATTAAATTTTTGATCGATTGACACTAATTTGCTCAAAATCTGTGGGCATACATTGGGAGACCTCCATTATCAGAATAAATGAAAGATACCCCGCGGCACGTTCAACAACAACAATTTCACAACTTTCGGATTATAGCCTGGAAATTGCACAATGGGCAAAAGGGAAGAATTCATGAGGTTTTCACGTGGCCAAATCGTGCCTTTTTTGCTGCTGGTGCAAGCTGAGTCATTTCTCTGGGTTTATTTTTACAAATTAATCCAAGATTTAAGAAAAACATGTACGAAGATAAACTGAGATATGATATTTGCTCAAGTTTGTTCATGTTATCAATTTTCTTGTGATGAAATAGTCGTAAATATAAATCCCATAAAATAATCTGAATGAGATTCAACGTTGCGAAAATAATTTTGAAATAATTTTTGCCTACGTGTCTAATCTTTTACTGGAAACAATGCAAATATCGGAGTCAAGCAAAATTTCTTGACTGGTAAACAAGACCATTTAGATTTTAGTGTCACTCACGCCACATTTGAGGTCTTGACTTTTTTGGACATATAATTATCCGCAGGATGTTACTTTATGATCAGCCGACCGAATTAAATAATTTGTTGACGGCTTTATATATGTACCTACAATAAAATAGGTTCTAACATGCCATGCATGGTGTTTTTGCAATTTGGCAATAATTTCCCCCAATTTTGTTGGTCAAAGTAGTTATCAAAGTAATTATTCTGGCACCGGCTGAGATGACATGAGTGGCATAAACATACATACACAACTTGTTATCTAGTCTTTAAGACGTCTGATGTCGATAAGAGCCAAATGAGTAATAATGGGACGAACAATGAACGCATTACATACACAACACAATCGAGGAAAACTACAATGCTTTAGATACAGACGCAATAAATGTCCTTGATTGTCCTTCACTTTCTCCTTATTAGTTCAAACCTAGCAATTTTGTGTACTTATAATATATGCATTTCGCTAGTATACTTACATAAGTATTCGTCAATGCGACATTTTCATTTTGAAAAAGTTTGACTTTGACAATATTATTAAAAGTTGTTTAATCCAAGACATTAATAAACTTGTTAAATATTATATAAAAAATTGCTCACGTTCTGCAAAACGGCTAATAAAGCCAATTTACACATTGGATTTTTAATTGTTTACAAGATTTGGACAGGGTTTAATTGATTGCAGCCGGCACTACTACTTTTATCCCATAGTTTATTTGCGGTCGAGCATACATAATTTTAGCATTTCGGCTTCGCAAGCGAGTGCTAATAAGTAAGTTAAGTTAACACGTATCATACGATGGTCAAGAAGAAGAAGGCGTACTGCAGATTTCCCCCTCGCAATTGGTGTTGGTCTGTTGGTTTATGTCCAGCCTTTGTATTTCCAGTCCAGTTATTATTCCTGTGCATTATCTTTTTTATCCACTACTTATCTAAAAGAATTCCGTTCAATTTTCCTCTCGGATGACGAAACGGAATGCAAATTGTGGATGTAATGAAACTTGATAATTAGAAATATATGTATGTAGCTACGTGCTCGGTGACTTGCTCTAGTCAATTTTGATACTGCAATTTATTTTACAATAATATCTACAAAACTGTTATTTTGAAAATAACTCCCTGCCTATTTTTATAGTAGCATGAACTTTATAAATAGTTGGAAAATGTGTTATTAGCAAACATGGAAAGCCAAGCATTCTGGAGATTATATTTGCCCAATCTCATGATAAATATTATACAATACAATCAACAAATAAAGAGAGGCATTAAACTAACGGATACAATTTATGTTACATATTTAGCTTGACAATCAAGCCGTTTTAATCTTGAATGTATTTTTCATATACTCCCCGTGGATAGAGGAGCAGTGGTTGGTTGGTGATGTGATCCTACTACTAAATACCTACCCATCATGCAAGGAAAGTAAAATGTATCGTGTAAAATATACCCATTTACAATTGTAATAATGAGACTGAAAAACATAACCAGTTCAGTTTAGCTTTAAACGATCGCCTCGCAGTCTTGCACGGGGCTACGAAATTGGTATAAATTCGGGGTCCCACCATTCCAGCAGCATCAGTACTTCTTCAGCTTCCTCCTGAACGAGCTACATACACAAAAGTATCAACAACTCTTTTCAACGAGTCTCAAATTGTCCCCCTGTCTTTAAATAAATCCAAGAATCTACTCAACAAAATGCCTGGTGGAGTCAGAATCAATCCCCAAGTCGTCAAGGGACGCTGGTGGTTTCTGAAGGATTCTGGAAATACTCAGAAGCCTGCCAACCGTTTGGACCTCTTTACCGGAAAGACGACCGAGGTTAAGACGCCGGCTGGGGATGCTTTTTCAAGGTAGATACAGAATTTTACATCAAATTCTTCCTAGGTTTTTATGGCATGAGTGACATTCCATCCCACCAAATCGTGTACAATTTGACTTAAAATTATATTCATTTCTTTGTCTACAGCAAATCCAACCCGAATCCCAACGCGTCTGTTTGGGGGAACGGAAAATCGTCCTGGTAGAGAGAGATCTGATGAGAGTCATTCTAGCTCGACTGTGGTTTGTCAGCCTCCTCGAAGATCATCTGGTAGCGGTATCGGTTCTGACACATACGGCTTGGATCATGAGATACGGATTTAATTGGTCAAGAAGAGTACGAAACGATCATAAAAATAACTTTTCGAATAAGTAATGGCTTTGTTTTGTTCCTGTACACGTACGCAGTACAGAATTTATAATGTAATTTATGCAATAATTTAACGAGTTACTTATATACTTACTACCAAGTTAAGAATTAATGTATTTTTTTACGATGGGATAGGTCATGCTCGATCGCTTACTTTTTTTGCGATCCTCGAGTAATAATCGTTTTTCTGAGGTAATATAATGTACTTGTTTTGTTACAAAGATATCTCATTTTGTACATTTGAACATTAGGAGCAACCAATTTTTATAGGTATTAAGAGTAATTACGCATACTTAAATATACTATTTTTAGGTTATTATACACACTTTGCTTAGATAGTTGGAAGTTTGATACTAATAAAGTCGAGACGAATATTTACATTGTAAATTTAAAAATTGTTAAACACATCGTTAAAAAAACCTCTCCTCTTTTCATTACCATAAGACACACACACCCACTTTACCGTATAATTTGGCAATACAATTAAACCCAAAATTTCATAGCATGCTCTTTCATTAAACACATGATCTCATTCATTAGTAATTACTTCCTTAATCAAGCAGTGACAATGCTAACTGAATAACTCAATGATAAGCCTGTCCTCATCTCTTGAAGATCAACCGCGTCCCAACCAACCATGAATGTATCGGGTGTCTGAAAGGCCATGCCTTAAATTCTCTCGTCACCTATTCATCCCTGGTCATTCATTAAATAGATTAGTACACATAGAAGAATATTGCACAATTGTAATAAATTTGTTTACAACAAAAATGCCAAGCAAAATAGAATCGCGATAACGCAAGTTGAAACACACGACGGTTCTTTAACCCAGCAGTCAGTTCAGTTGACCTCTCTGTTGTCAGGTCGAATTGGAATTGACTTTATAGTGTGAGTGAATTGTAAAATGAAACTTATCAAACATTTCGATGATAAGCCGGTCCAAATCTGAATGCAAATAAACAAGTCATTACTTGCTTTTCCTACATACTTCACTCACCCAACGAAACAATGCGCGGTGATATATATATATCTTTACTTATGTAGTCAATAACAAAATGTGTAAATGTGATTGGCATTTTGTGTAATGGAGTGGATAAGACTGCGGCAGCATAAAATTATCAAATTCATTTTTATCATCGCTTGAGTTGGTTGGTAAACAAATCCTGCTTGTACATACAAAAAAGAGAGATTTGACTCGACCATAACAAGCTTTTTTTTAATGCTTATTCGGTCCACATATTTATCTACTTATACTTTTCTCCACTACTTCTTGTAGTTTATGAGTGGACTGCTTGTTTCAAATAGTGGTTTGGTTGATTGGTTATAGGGAAAAGGGGTAGTTGTTGTAAGTCGTCGTCTGGAGGAATTGGGTTCCTGGTGGATCTCTGATGAATTGAAAATGAGCACCTTCATCATTAATCTTATCAGAGTTCTGGTCTACTTCTGGTTTCAACATTTTTTCATCGTCCACCACAACCTTCCTCGTCTCTGGGTCATTTAATTATATGAAACGTAGACCAACGAGGCGTATTTATTTACTAAATTTATACCCCAGTAAAGCATATACATACCTATTTATTTATTTATTTATCAGTCTGCTGGTTAGAGGAAGCAGGGTTGAGTAACAAACAATTTGTGGTGGTGGTATAAAAAAACGGGGGAAGATAAACAGACTTTTCGATATAACACACGTGTTTATAGTGTAGACGAGGTCAGAACAATGCAACGGGTCGGTTAGTGACAGGATTGTTCTGTCCTGTTTTTGTCAAGATAAAGAAAATAGTGCGCATTAAATTGGACGAGACACAAATTTTGGTCCACATAGTGCATGCACTTGTGGGAATTGTATTAAATGCAATGAGCTTTGTATCATGGATGACATTCTAAAAGTTTTATTGTTCCAAGCTTTCGATAGCTAAATAGCTGTTATCTTCTTCAGAGAGCGATATTGTATTAAATGCAATGCAAGTACCGATAAGCAGTTCCTTTTTATTTTTTGATGAAAAATGTGTGATGCCAATTATTTACTTTTTTGCGTACGTACCTTCATTTCATCTCGTCGGAAAGAAAGGAAGGGTGCATAATCCGGGTTACGTGATCTCGGACACATCTTTAGAATAGAAACTTACTAAACTTAGATGCATGCAAAAATCCACCAAAGTTTCCGTGTCTTCCAGATCTCCATGCATGTTGCGCTTTATTTTTCTTGCAAAATAACAAGGTCACAAACTCATCCCTCAATAATACATTAATATACTTAATTAATTGAGCATTGTTTCATGTACTTTGTGCAAAAACAAGCAGGTCAATAAACGCGTAATCGACCTTGCTAAGTCGTTTTAGTCAAATGATATAATATTACAAGAAATGCATGTATGGATTCCTGAGTAACATCACGTAGTCTAAAGCACGGGATCGATGGGAAGAAGGGGAAGTTGTGATGATTGTTAATTTGACATCTATCCGTCTACATCCTGAAATATTTACAAAAGGTTTCCTCCCCTGATTACGTGATCATCGTCAAATATACTGTGCTACTGGTTACCTTCTTGAAGATTTCGTTGAAAATGTTTGTCATCATCATTGGTCATTTGGCAAATCAGTGTACAAATTATTTATAAACCTCTTAATAGCATTATTTAATTGATGATCATCTATTAATAAGTGCATGACACATATTTATTTTTTAACCAAATGCTGCAGGTGTATTAAGATATGTTTACTATATAAAGGAGCTACGCAGCTTTACTAATTAATTTACGGAACACATACTTAAGACTCTCAAGCACAAGCCTCGGGGTTGGACCAGATCGGATAAAAATACACCCTTCGTGTAATGACATGACTAGCAGAAAAAATTTTACAAAAAATATACTCGGTAAAAGCGTCATATTTTATTTATATAATTCAATAATTTTTGCGCTCCTTGTTTCATTATTATTTCGAGAGTGATCAAAGGTACATGTATAATTTGCATAAAATTTAAATTCCTAATAAGCAACACCGATTCTTCATGGTAAGCTAAAGACTATCTGTACCACAAAATTATCAAGTTACAAATTATTCCGCATTGTTTTTGTAACTTTTTTTGTCTGGCTAGATGTGTTCTCTGATAAACCTCGATATTTGTGGCTGGCGATTATTAAATGCAGTCCAACTCGCATCGTTACTCGTAATTTTCTGCATAGCAATACAACTTCAACCTACAACTGCCCTTTCCAATGAGCACGACGGACTAGGAGCATTAACGTCCAACGAAATCGTCCGAAGGCCACTCCCACCAAAATTACCGAAAATGTGCAAAACTAGCCAAGTTTTCTCAAGAGCAGTGATGAAATGTGTGCCCAAAAAGAAAACCACTGTGAGACATATATGTCTCGCTAATATAGTCAATTTTGAAGATGAAGAATACAAAAGTCATCGGAATTATGAGTATGAGAATCTGATCTCTAACTACAATCGCTAAAAATGCATACATACAAAAAAGTGTGTATGTAGCTGGTGGAGTCAACAATGAGTCGCAAATTCTGTAAAGCTCGGCCATACTTTATAGAAAAACAGCATTTTTTTTATTCTGGTATAAATTACCATGTAGGTTAATCCGTGAATATGTACGATTCACAGCCAATTATTCATAGTCCATCCGGATTTTAATGAGTTAATCAGCAGCTCCGTAGTTTTATTACATAGTTTTATACAACTTTGTAAGTTTTATTTTATAATTTATTTTATTGGTCTTCAATTGAACACTGATAAGTTCAAGGGCAGTTGGAAAATTCCAGTTCTATTAAACTGTTATTGATATGAAAATTGGTGAAATTCTATCTCCAGCAACCCAAAGAAAATGGTAATTGGTCATGTATACATATCACAGCATCCAATCCACAACAAACCAGCAATTCACAAGTCATACATATGTGCCACAAGATTGGCCTCAATTATCGTGATGTTCCATCAAATATAAAAATTATTTCATTTCTTAGCTCAATTTTTGCATGTGTCTCACCTCCCATTTTCGCCAGTTTTTACCTGCTGCTGCTATTCTACATATAACTGGATATATGTCTGTCTGCCTGCCAATGAAATAAAATGCAAACAATGTACGACGCAGATGTTTGCTAAATACATTGCTGGAAATTGCGCAGTCACACAGGCCTAATAGAATTCTTAATAGCCAACACCAAACATCAACAGCTAGTAAATAAGTATTGGCAAAGACCGTCATAAAACGGCAAAAAATGCCGTGGTTGTGTGTGATTGTTGTAATTGTAAACCCTTGTTGCCAGGTTTATTCAGGATCGCAGAGGACGGCCACGAGTGGATTAGTGGTAACATTTTAATCCCAGAGATAACTATGTCCACAGGTATTTGTGGATATATCAGCATCACTTATTTTCACGGCATATCGGTTAAATCTACAACCTAAATGTTTACAATCAGACGAACATTGTATAAATTATCGCAATATTTTTTATTGATGATGATGATGAACCTTTATTTACTTGTCCCAATAAAAGGAGGCCGGGACGCTCGTTTGAGGATTAAATACAATCTATTTATGACTGGATTAGGATTATTTCCAGTTGTATAATGAATCTGAGAGTGTATATTTATGTAATGTACATAATAAGATGTAGCGTGACTTGGGTCACTCATTTTGTATGCACAGCTTTACAAAAATTGTCAAATTAAACCATGAATTGTTTTAGATTCGCTGCATTTTTTATGTAATTCATCGTGTCACATCGTGCCGATTGTTGGACTCTGGAATCTGTCGGCATTATTTTTTGGTTGTCACTGTCATCTCTTTAATGTCGCGAAACATTTTCCCCCAAGGGATTCTATATTCTCATTAAACTACAACATTTACCTAAATATGTCCTCCACATTTTGTGGAACTGGGATGACCATCCATAGTCACCCTTCAATTAATAAGATTTAGACTCGATTTAGACACGGATACGACCGACATCCTCGTCGACACACTGTTGTCGGCAGGATGGGACAAAATTGCATGACGATTGTAGTTAAAATTCAGTTTTGCAATAGCTCCACTTCAGAAATGTGCATTTTTGTGAGTAGACGTTAATACGTACCTGTTAATTATTATATTTGGTTGATTTTCAAAGAGCGACAACATTTTAACCATACATCACACGTACGAATCCCAAGTAAAAAATACCGTTCCATGATTCACAACTTTGTAAAGTGGTGGAGGTAGCAAAGGAAGTCGTAATAATATTCGCATAAAGGAATGCACACCAGTTAAAAGCGTGATGACCGCTGATTTTATTTTTTGACCCAGTTCGTTCATTCATCCCTTTGTTACTCTCAATCTCTCAATTATAGTAACTGATTCACTTTCATTTTCATTAGAGGCAGGTGGCAGAACATTGTTGGCAGAAGTCCTGGACTGCAGGACATGAACGAAACAATAGTCCAGTTCCAGTCTTGATTATTTTAGGAACCGTATTAGCGTTAAGTTTTACTTATTATCTGCGTACCGTGTATATAATTGATAACCATGTGCCACAAGAAATGGGTATCCATTTTCTGGAGTAGTTTGGCCTTCGTGTCGAGTTTATATTTTGATCGTGTCGTCGGACATGTGAGCTTAACATTTCCCCCGGCAAGAAGTTTTTCTTTAGATTTTTTAGATAACGTTAGAACGTTACCGCCTTGTGGGATGCCTCGAGGTAAGGATCCGCTTATCTGTTGTATTGTATTACTACATGTTCTGGGTTTGATAACATAACTTTGATGGAATAAGGTGTCCATGAAACAACGCTTATGGCTGGAGTACCGATTAATATTTCGTGGCATTTGGCGTACCCACATCGAGTGAGTTTACGGGGTGGGCGAAATACTTTGTCAAATACGGTATTTTGAGCTCCCAGGGTTTAGATTTCCAGGGGTGTTACACCCACAAAAAGACGAGAATCTACAAGGAGGAAACAATAGTCACACGATAATATAGGTTTAATGAAGAAATTAACTTTTTATCCGTGTCAAAATAAATCATTTTCATGATTTAAAAAATCCAAGGTATTTTGACAGACTAAAGTTAATTAAAATTAGTCAGATAATAACCTATCAGTACAGCTTTGCTTAGCCCGAACCAGGAATGATTAGCAAACCCATGTTTGTCAGTAGTATTCTATGAAATTATGTGCTACTATTTTGCACTAATTCTTCCACCAATCCTTCGTATTACTAGGCTCCAAATTCTAAAAATATTTACTATCCCTTCCCTTGACTACTTCCTAGTGGAGGTCGTCTCTATAGCCCCCCTGGTTAATTTTTGTTCATATTTAACTCATGATATTTCGTGAAAAAGCAGTATGGAACTCTGGTCCAAATTTTAGCTTTCTATGTTAATTTCTGAAAATCGGTGGGGGTCACCCCATAGGGTCCCTCTAGATGAAAATTTTACCAATTTCACTTCATATTCTTCCATTACGGGCCATTAGCAGCCTCTATACCAAATTTCAGCTCGATTGAATGATTTTGAAAAATCGGTATGGGTCACCCCCTCGGGTACCTCCGGTTGACAAATTCTCCAATTTCACTTCATATTCTTTCATTAGGAGCCATTAGCAACCTTTGTATCAAATTTGTCCTTTCTATGACGATTTTGAAATTTTGGTGCATAATACCCCACCCACTCCGATGACCCCCACCGGTCAACCACTGGACCAATGTCACCCATCTTCGAACTTGTTTCCTAACTTTGTCCAATATGCATATGGTAAAATTTTCAAGTCAATCGGTCAACTCGTTCGAGAGTTATCGAAAGACAGACGGACAGACAGACAGACAGACAGACAGACAGACGGACATGACAATTACATAAGCCCTGGTTCGGGCTAAAAATTCAACTCTTCACAAAGTCTGTTTTTGCGTAGGACTGTTGTCTTCTCCACGTAGATTCTCGTCTTTTTGTGGGTGTAACACCCCTGGAAATCCAAACCCTGGGAAGAACAGAGCTCAAAATATTACATTTTGACAAATTATTTTGCCCACGCATGTATGCAGTGGAAACATTCTGCAGGAAATTGAATATTTTTTTATATAAATTTCTACAGGGTGGATACAGGCTTGAACTTTTGGACAAACATGACAAATTTTTATTGGATTTGATAAAGCGAGACAAGTCACAAAACTATATTGAAGGAGACCCCACGTATTGCTACACAAATATTGACAGCATTTATATATGTTTTATAAATATCAATAATATGCTGAAAATTGAAATAGAGCTCAATGGCACACGGTCACAATACCCAGCGATTTACTTTGTGACACTTGCACAATTAGACTTTTACGACAAGCCAGTGAGTGGGCTAACGAGTACCGTTTTTGGTCGTGTGCCGATGTCAGGATCGTTAAGCCAAGGAGTTATCTAGAAGATTGCTCCAGACATGGACAGGTTATCCTTGTCGGAGGAGGAGATGGATGCAAGTGTGATACAGGTAAAAATAGAGATATTATTTTACATAATCATAATGTGGTACTGGTCTTGGATTAATTTTTAATGTAATGAGGTTGGTGGGGTCCAAGATGTCAATTTGAGGAGGAATGTCAATCCAGCCTTGATTGTGGAAAGGGAACCTGTGTCGATCTCGGAGGCACCGCCTTACCTCGGAAGCAATGTTTTTGTCCTCCGGGTCTTCACGGACTGAAATGTTCTCTAAAGAACAAGGCGAAACTTGCGACTAAAACAACTCTCGATTTGAGTAACCACACCAAACGGAAGTTGTCGGATAAAATGTTTCTCAATTATAAAGTAACTTAAGTTATACATATTTGTCATCAAATTGATTGGTCTTGAAATTTCTGCGAAAATATGCAGGTTATACACGCAGCCCAAAAATTGGATAAGGAAATAGAATTTGTCCTGGTAGTAAATGGGACGTCATACGGAGCAATAGGGTGGCGTCCCGCATCCTTGAACAAGTCGTGCAAATTATGGCCACAAATTGGTGGAAATAATGGAAGAAGAGTGACACGACAAAGTTCTAAAGCAAAACTTATCTATAAACCGAACGAAACCCTTTTGAGACCTTTAAACGACTTTCGATCAGAATACGGACCCGGAAAACGACAAAGGCCGGATACCCCAGCGCCACAGAAAAGTCAAGAATCGTCCTACAGTTCTATTAATCGAGGTCGTCCAACTTTACCAGAAGTAGAACCCCTTCCTGAACCTGAAACAGATAATCAACATAATTGCAGAACGAAAAATGATAAAGTGTTACCAGAACCAGAACTAGCTCCAAAGGTAAAAGCAACCCCAAAGCGTGAACAACAGTTGCAAAGTACCACTTCCAAGTCTAAATTAAATTCAGAATTTAAACCGGAATCGGAACCTAAAGCTGAACCTGAGTCCGAACCGACGGCTGAATCCGAACCAAAAGCAGAATCGGAACCAAAACCTGAGTCCGAACCGAAACCTGAGTCAGAATCACAAGCTGAGTCCGAGCCAAAATCAGAATCGGAGCCAAAAGCGGAATCGGAACCACAAGCTGAATCTGAGTCCGAACCTGAGTCCGAACCGAAAGCTGAATCCGAACCACAAGCGGAATCGGAACCAAAAGCTGAGTCAGAACCAAAACCCGAATCGGAGCTAAAAGCTGAATCCCAAACAAAAGCGGAATCCGAACCAAAATCTGAATTCGAACCGAAAGCTGAGTCAGAGCCAAAAGCTGAATCGGAACCAAAACTTGAATCGCAGCCAAAATCTAGGTTCCACCCCCAAGCGGAATCCGAACCGAAATCGGAGCATGAGCCAGAGAGTCGACTAAAAACTAGACCTGGTCCATTCATGCAGACAACTCCCTCAAAATCATTATTAAAAGGTCCCCCAGTTCCAGAAGAAGAATCAGAACCAGAATTATCATCTGAACCCGAACCAGAGAATCACAAAAGCTCTCCGGAACCCGAACCAGAAAATCACAAAAGCTCTTCGGAACCCGAACCAGAAAATCACAAAAGTTCCCCGGAGCCCGAGCCAGAAAATCATAAAAGTTCGCCAGAACCTGAACCAGAAAGTCACAAAAGCTCTCCCGAACCTGAGCCCGAAAATCACAAAAGTTCTCCAGAACCCGAACCGGAAAATCACAAAAGCTCTCCGGAACCCGAACCAGAATCAGGACCTTCTCACAAAACAAAAATCCCAAAAAAATCTCAGGTAAAAATACCGACAAATTTACATAACACAATTACATAACAATTATCTCTTCTCAAGTACTCCCCCAAGGGAGATTTCCATGCCATGGACTGCACAGACATAATCATCGGAGCGGTCCGAGGTGGCGTATACTCTCGCATTCTTGACTACTACACCCGAGATAGATCAACCCCTCGCCTCGACGAATTCTGGACACACGAAGGGTCAAACAGCATAACTTCGGCGACCGGGTGGGAAACTGATGACGGTCAATCAGTCATCATCTTCCGGAGAAAAGTAAAGTCATTCGAAGTAACAGATCATGACATCGAAAGTGGGATGCACGTAATTTGGGCGCTGGGTCAAGAACGTGGGAAATATGTTCATTCCCCTCACTCCGGTTTGGAAAAAGAGTCGCCATCAATTCCCAATTTCTATGAGAAGGACGAAATCAAATATCACGGACACGGGGGTCAACGGGGGTCAGGGTCCACGTTCATTGAGTTTTAAGTAGAAACGCCAAGCGTGGTTGGTCCATTGGTTGGTTGGGTCTCACTAAATTTGTTATACTCAAAATTATGTTTTTTACTATTTAGCCATTGATCAAATAAAGTATGCGTAATTTTATCCATTTCAGCGTATGTAGAGTGATTAGTTCACCTTGAAAATGCTGGTAACATGTAATTATTCATCAAACTGCACTTGAGTCTTACCGTGGGAATTATTGTGCATATTATTGTGCAGGTCTGTGGCATTGGGTATTGTTGTCTGTATGTGGTACCTGTTTGTACATCGAGATTTATGAATACATAAGGATTAGGCGGATTGTGCAATCTTTGCATAGCTAATTTTGCTCTTGTTGCAGAAGAGGTTTCAACTCGAGTAGACTCAATTGTTTTCCAACCAACCAACAACAATTCGATTTAAAATGTTCACCAAATTTTGCTCAATACTTTGCCTAGTTCTGGTTGCAGTTATCTTTGCAAGTGGAGAAAATGCTACTCAGCCTGTCGAAGTGGTAAGAATTTTAAATTTTGTTTTTTGACTATATAATAATTCTATCTTTTAAAATTATTTAAAATTATTTTTTTTTCTAGTCGGAACCTGCAATTTCCGTGAACAATGCTACCGTTTCTGAGGCAAAGACTAAGCGTACCTGTGCCTGCGACGATACAAATGAAACGTTGGTTTGTGCTAGTAATGGGATCACTTATAAAAATCAGTGTAGATTTCAATGCGCGAAGGCCAGGGTTTCACGTAAGACGATAAAAAATCTCAATTAAAAATTTGTGTATCTGGCAGGGGTGGGGAAAATACTTTGTTAATATAGAGCTTTTTGGGCTCCGTTCTTCACAGGGTTTGGAATTCCAGGGCTGCTACACCCACAAAAAGACGAGAATCTACGTTGAAAATACAGCAGTCACATGAAAATGCACATTTTCTGAAGAAATTACCTTTTTATCGCTGCCAAAAATGTTGTTTTCACGATGAATATTTTAACAGTGATAAAACGTTAATTTTTCACAAAACCTGTATTTTCATGTGACCGTTGTATTTTCGTATGATGCGTCTTTTTGTGGGTGTAAAACCCCTGGAAATCCAAACCCTTGGAAGAACCGAGCTCAAAATACTCCATTTTTCCAAAGTATTTCGCCCATCCCTGACATATACCTACCTTCCTTTAAAATATTCCACTCCATTGTGATTTTCAGGCCTCCGAGTAATTCGACAAGGACAATGTGGAACCTCAACTGGGACTAGCGCCTATTGGCAGAAAGGATTCAAAGGAAAATAATTACTACTTGTTACAACATTCATCTGCATGTACATGTCATGTCACGTCTTCTTAACTCATTCAAAATCTTAGTGGCACACAAAAAAGTAAATCAGATCATGCTGAATGAAATTGAGCGAATTTGTGAAATAAGCAATATAAAAATCTTTGTCATATTACTGCGAATTCAAAAAATATTTTATTATTAAAAATCTGCCAACTTATCAAATCACATATTATTGACGTGGCCCTGTAATTTACAGTAACTTCTTTAAAATCAAGAGAGTGAAACGTCAAGTTAATAACTCTTTCTTATTACATATTGGATCACAGAGAGCTTCATTTGCCTGCCTGCATTATTCTAACTGTAACAACATCAACAAACGACATCGAGCAGGTTTGTGCGAATGGGGGTTGTTCTAAGCAAACGAGTCGTAAGTAATATAGTTTTTGGCGTTAAGAGCAGATCAAGCAATTGCTTCGTCGTAATAATCTTGAGTCGCCAACGCCCAACTCGAATCTTGAAATCTTGTTTTTCTTACCACAACAATTACCTTCGGCTGTGTGTTGAAAGTGTCAGGTCGGCCCATGCATTTTACGCTATTCGAATTTTATACTTTTCTCATGATTCTTTATTATCTATATTCTTACACATTTATTACCTATCTTACCCGCTGGCATGCATGAGACACAAATAAAATATAAATGGATACATTCATACACCAGATTCCGCCGCAGATTGGTCTAATTGTTTTACTCGTCGTCGTCGTATCATCATCGGCAAACAAAAAGGAAAGCAGAACAATAGAGACAAAAATCATCAATTTAATAATGAGGGGTGCATTTTGTTGGAATCTTTTTATGTGGAGAAATCATACCAATAATGAGCTTAATATCACTCCAACATGATTTCGGCCTCTTAATTAATGTTGACTTGTTGTGACATAACTCATTAGTGCAAAAAAAATATTATGGGTCAACAATTTATGGTCAAACTGGGAAGTAAGTAATGTTGCGTGGTACGATAATTTTTTTTGCTAAGTTGTTCCTAATTTTACACGTCGGACATAATTTTTAATCACATATTCGAAACGTACCCTTGTAGATAAATAAACAAATAAATAAATAAAGATTATCTCATTATTCACGATTATCTCGTGAATCTTTGATTGTGCTGCTGCTATTATTGGTCCGCCCATTGTATTATTCGTCTGATTTCTTGCTAGTAAAGTCATTCATTGCCATCATCCCTCTGAAGACATTAAAATAGCTCCTTTTACTGTTGCATTGCATTGCATTGTGTTGTGATGCATAGCAGAGTTCATTCATCCCATCATCGTCATACTAAAAATCAACATGTATCTATTACTCTGAATAATATGCATGAGGAACATATCAAGGTGTGATTTTTATGAAGGGATAGATTAGATATCGCAGGTTAATTTTTTTAGCTGGGAAAGACACCACCACACCACCAGACAAACTTCAGCATCATTGTATTTATTCTGTTGCATCATTTCATTCGTGATTTGAACGGGAACGTCAAAATCAAACCCTTCCGATCAAATTGTAGACGTACAACCTACTAAATCCGCTTTTCGAATATTGATCCCTTCCGTGTGGCCGAGACTCAAATCTATAAAAAATCTGATTGATGAAAAAAATCTCAACCCTAATCATGCAATCTGTCTTTTCGCTAAAATGAATGTCATGCAAAAGAGGGAAGAGATATGTACATAGTAAATTAAATTGTTTAGTTTAACCGTTTCTTGGTTTGGCCAATCAATACATTTGGAAATCAATTTCAAGATATATAAACCGTTCCTGACGAAATGTAATAATAGGGTGAAATCAAGGTGGGAACTTAAATTTCGACCTTCTGGTCGGAGGTCAAAAATATTGACGGCGTTGATTTCACGGTAAAGTTTCTTTCAAAATGACACCTAATATTAAAATTTAGGTGATTTTATTTTGGACCACACACGCTGATCCCATATTAACCTAAAAAATTGGCAGGATCCTCTCCCTCCCTGAGGTCATATGTAAGATGTCACAAATCGATCTCAATTATCTCGATCCGTTCTCGAGTAATCCTGCTGACCGACGGACAGACAGACGGACAAAGTCTTGACATAGAAGTGTTTCACCCTTATAATAACTCGTTCGGTTCCCTCTTGTCTGACTTTATTTATTAAACAAAATAATTAACCAAGTAAATATCGCATGGGATATTTAATTTGAACCGAAAACTGTCATAGCGGTGAAGTTAAAGACAAGTTCAACGCATAAAAATCCTCATCAATCAACCAGGATTTGTTTGGTCGTCTTCTTTCGTAGTCGTAATTATAAGAGAGGTACGTACATATGTACCTACAAACTGAAATAAAACCACCAGGGAATGCATAAGACGACTTTCTACATGATGCGATAATGGGAACAATTACTCTATATCTATGCATTTGTTCAGCATTTCATGGGATGAGAGATGAGAATGCAGCTCTTGACGTATGCCATGTACTCGCTCATTGTTTTTCTCCATCTATTTAAGAAGTTTGTTGGGTGAAATTGTTACCACTACCTCTCCATCTCAAATGCGGGTGTAAATTAACTATGCATGAAAACTGTGACCATTTTTTTCCTAAATAACGGCGCATCTCTCGGACTTTGACGGAATAAAATAAAAGTGCATGCAATTTAAACGAGTTCGAAGTTAAGCTTAAATCAATTTTAATTAGCTCGACCAAACCAAACGTGTTTTTTTACCATTTGATGTGACAACGAGACGAATGAATAGAAAGATCGACAACAACCTATATTTAAACCTCACGATAATCCGAGTCATTCAGAGTCAGAGATCGTGTCAACCACTTGAAAAAATCCTTGAGTATTTACAACCAAAATTTAAGAACTAATGAAACTCTGTAGAGAAATCCTACGCATGTTTACCAACTCCAAAAATTACACGGATCAATAGAACATTTAAGATGCCATGTATATGTAAATATGCATGTGTAAATAAATATGTACTTAATAATCTTGTGTCAATTCATGATACCAAATGTGTACCACTTAATTATTAGTAGAGGCACCTGCTAAATTATTTTTCCTCCGAGCTCAGCCAATCCGCAACTGTATTAACATTTAACAATCGTAATTTTTAAATTGGTCATCAATTATGCCAAAGTAAGTTTGTAGGTATGCATGCATTCTCAATACCTTAATTTTTTGTCTTCACACAGAAGAAGAATAGATACCTGTACGACGCGTGATGTCTCTCATTCTTCGCTGGCTTCGTATCTTGAAGAAGTTTACTTTTTGTATCAACCAAACCACAACTTTACCAGGTGCCAAGTCCAGTGAGTGGAAAATAAACAATTGTATTTTCAAAAAGATATTTCCATATTGGGATTGTGTTTGATTATGTCATCGAGTCATCTCATCATTCATGAAAATTATTTACAATCGTCTTCTTCCAGTACTTAACCAACGATTCACTGTCAGTGAAATCGAATTGAATAAAAGTACATGAATTAATCAATGTATAAGTATCGGTTTGAAGATGATTGCGTGCAAAAAAATGACAAAAGTATCGCTGCGTGATACTCCTCTCTTCTTGCTTCTGCCTTTTTATTCACTCTCTAGTTTGATCCGAACTTGGAAGCAGTGATAGGTCCCGATTCATGTGATTTCGACGTTTTCTGATCCAAAACACGAATCTGGACATTCCAAAATCTGGTCTGATTAAATAAATTATAGTTATTTAACCCTGCCTGGACGCTTAATTGTAAGTATATACTGCGTGGTGGAAGTAGACAAAGTGGTGGTGGTGGTGGCAAAAGGTATGCAATAGTTTGTGTATGTAAGTAAATTTCCAATTTGCAAACATACAAAACCAGATTTTGATATTTATTAGTCAACTTGTCGGGTTTTCCCCTCCATTCGTAAGAAGGAGATGTTCTCCATGTTATTATTAACCATGTTATTATTATTGCCACTTTGCTGATTGACTTTGACAGATGGAGAAATTGGCTGGTGCATGGCTACTCAGAATTGGTCTTGCGTCGCACATTGTTTTGTCCGATTCAATATATGTACACAGTAAGGTCCAAGGTATTAATATATCAAATGGGTGCCCATTAAAAGCAGAGATTAAACAACATATACATACTAAAAATTTTATCACGGTATTTCCCCCTTGTTGTCCTCGTGGAATGCATACTTTGTGACTGATGGAGATTTAAAAGGGTCATTTTTCACTTCATCCTAGCAGAATACTTAAAATAAGTACTTATGTAATGCTTATCATTTGACCAACTATTTTCTTAAAAGGTGCATTTCTTCTAGACCCAGCACACATAATTTATTAAGTATTTAATAGGCGAGCAACTGGATTTGCTTTTTATAACCGTGGGGCCAATTTGCGACAAGCAATTACCACCCTTCCTCGCTTACCTGGGGAAGATATGTAATATGTATGTAGCTGTTACTAGAGTGGATCTAATGGATTGGTTGCATATCGAATTTTAAATTTTAAACTGTCTTATATCCATTCCAAAGGCAGAGATAATGACAACATTGCTCGCACTGCATTTCAAATCTGTTTCTTCTCTTGTGGTTGGAAGAAAAAGAAGCCGTGGTGGTGTTATTACAAGTGAAAACTACCTACTTCCTGGTCTTCCTCCACTCCTCTTGCCTCCATTCTTCGTCATCTTCTGCAACTGCATCCATCCACAAGCAGTCGATATGTAAACCGTCTCAACGAACATGAAAAAGTGGCGTCATACAGTAAAATGATATCACATGAAAATTATGCGATTTATGACCTTCGACCTCGTCCTCACGGTTTGACGGCGTTGATTCGGTGGTAAAATTTCCTTTAAAATTACATCCATTTGAAAATCATATATTTTTTACCTTTGACCTTGTCTACACGGTCAAGGGTATGTTGGAGGTCAGAAATATTAACTTAATTGAATTCGTGGTGAAATTTCCTTTAAAATGGCACCACGGTATGAAAATTCTGTGCGGGGTGGTCCGATTTATCCCATTATCTAAATCGACCCACAACTAAAAATTAGAAGTACAATATCGAAAACGGCGTTTGATTGTATGTTGAGACGTTCTGGAAATATCCTGCTACAGACGGACTGACGCACAGACAGACGGACAAAACGATCACAACAAGTGGCTGCAATAATATACATATCTACTGCAGAAGGACTGACTACTACGGAATGCTATATACTACTACAGAATGCAGCTCTAGTTGTTCTCTTCTTTAACGATCTTGACGCTGAGTGATTCGAAATACTTGGTGTGCACACATTCTGCACTGCTCCAACAAGTGAATGGTCTTATTAGGCATATATTTATTGCATCCATCCACTTGCTCCATCCTCAATGTATGCAACAGGTTTAGGACTCACTTATGCAGTGGCTCAAAATTGTAGATTTATCAATTCAGTTGGCAAAAAGTATTCTTGCACATGCGACTCATTCATTCAAAGGAGTTGAAATTGGATTTTGACCACAAGTTACAAGGCAATTCTATTTTTGCGACATTTCTCCTCCTTCTGCACGACTCTTGACATTTTAGGTTTGTAAAAAAATTTCAATTCTATTTCTTTTTTTAATTCATACATACGTTATCTCTTCAATTGTGCATCTTCACTCGAAAATGCACATGTATGTAGGCTTCCCCATACAAATTTGCGAATTGTAACATTTTTCATGACACGAGTTTTTGTCGAAAATTATTCTGCATTGAAATAATATTCGCATAACTTCTTCTTGTGACAATAATAAAGAAGTTGACAAGGGTTGAGTGAGAACTGCTGAGAGATTTAAGGATGAGAAGGAGAGGATGGATTAGCTTAGCTTAGCTGGTTTTTCAGTCATCCATCACAGCAAAATGTATATGTGCAGAGAGACATGAGACTGAGACCCCATAGGTGAGAATAATGTAATGGAATGGTAACAAACAACCTGTAAGTTGGCCTAATCTTGCCTGCGGTTTCGTTTAGTTGGACAGTCGGTGCATTGTCATTTTGAAATAAGTGGAGTCATCTCGACTCATCCATCGTCCCTTGTGGCTAAAAACTAAAGACTAACAGTTTTGCGACTTGATTTGATTTGCAGGATACGACGAGGACGCCACGAGACACAGGGAGACCAGAACTCAGCGGTACAGGAAGTGCACAAGATATAAACAATTGCTCTGATACTGAACAAAAATCTCATTGTGGTTCCCTCAGAGGAATAGTTTTGTTAATTTATCTCTGAAAGTTTTAAGAATAAGCAGCAGCACATGAAGTCAGTCTTCTCTAAAATAGAGTAAAATGTGAAGAATGGGTGCTTTGCTTTGTGCCTAATTCTATAACGCCACAACTTTCGTGGAGAGATTCGATTTCTTAATCGGGCCCCAATTATTGGATGCTCATGAGCTTACTAAATAAGTAAATTGTTGTTGTGGTGGAACGACGTGCTAAATAAATAAATATATACCTACCAAATATAATTTCAAAAGTATACATATTTCAAAAAATCTCAAAATGTGGAACCGTGCCCAAATCACGTCGTCGTGTTGCATAATACTCGTGGTGGTGTTTACCTCTGTTCAAAACAGTGGCAGTGTTATGGTCGTGACGGGAAGCAAGTTGTTATTAGACTGTCCAGGAATGGATGAGAATCCCGTGATAAGTGTAAAGGGAAGTGGAACTGGGGATAATTCGCCTTCGTCTTCATCCTCGTCGTCATCGTCCACCTCAACTCGTGGGGGAGGAGCAGGTTTTAGCTCTTCCGTGGAAGTTGGAGGTGATAAAAGTGACGAAGCCTGGGACAGATTCAGACCAATGTTACTCAAGTGCAAGGCAGCATATCCCATAACGTGGGATTTTATGGGTAGCAAGGTAAGTGAGAATTTATCTGTTGGGACAATGTGAGACTTTTAAAATTTCTGAATCATTAACTTACATAATTACTCATATTAGCCTCCAGACTTGTCCGTCGAAACCATTGTCGAAGTGGACAATGTCCTCACCCCGACGAAACGTTGTTTCTACTCGAATCTCAAAGTTTTAGCGAGTGGCTACACTGGGAAGGAGAGCAGGACGGGAAATTATACTTGCAAATCCTTTGACGGACAAAAGAAGGCTTCGATTTATCGTTTCGCACATGGTACATGGTTTTTGCACAGATATATTTATCTTTTTGCACATGGTTAGTCAACCGCTTGGCTGTAAAAAAAGTTGACTTTTTAGAGAATATCATCTGCAGTTAATCATCACAAGAACGAATGCATGCATGCGACGCGATGATGCATTACTGCTTTTGTTGAAGTGCGGATTGATGTGATTTTTTTTGCTATAATTATTTAAACAATGCCATATTTGGGTTGAATAGATGGAACGTCCATTTTCAACACGAGGAAAACAATGGAGGCGAAAGTTATAGTGAGAGGGGGAGTGGCTCAAGTCTTTATTCCTTGTACGGCAAATATACCTAATCTTAACGCAACGGTGCTCCGAATTCAGGATGAGGTGCTATTTTAAACGTTTAATTTGAATGATTTCCAATTTCTATTTTTGCGGTAGGAATAATAATAATGCTCGACTGATTTGCTTTCATATGTAGAACAAAAATGTCACATTTGTGTCATTGGATGCCAACTCGATTGAGCAAAAGTATGACCCAAAAGTTGGATTTTTTCTCAGAAGTAAAAATGTGACGGCACTTTCGGGAAAATTTGTATGCTCGGGGACGTATAGGAATGAAACGGAAGTTGTGGAAATAACGGTGGCACCTCCAACGGGTAAGAAATCCAGGGAGGAAGTATTTTTATGTATGAAACTTTACTACATATGCTTTACTTTGTAAAATAGATTTCATTGTCAGCCCCACAAAACAACATCAAACGTTTAGAAATTCCAGGATTTCGGTGTCCTGTCGAGCAAACGAGCCAGTAGAAATGAGACTAAACAACACAAATGTCAAGGTGCAACAACACCTTCAGGAATTAATGTACAAAACGGATAGTCTCAAATATGGGGCGATGGGGGAGGTTTTTACTCATCCGAAACAAGAGGTTCTCAAGGGAGAAATCAGTTGTGTTAAGAAACTCACGGTAATTTTTAATTATTCGCATTATTTAACTAATTCTATACGGGAAGATCTTTAAGTTCGATTTTAAACTAAATATTTTTTAGGGAGAAGTTCTTTACACTTGGAAATACGATACGGATTACATGTGCACGTGTAACTGGACATTGAAGCCAGGTATGTGCATACATACATATATACGAGCAAATTATGTTAAATGTGAATATTTATGCTGAGAAATTTTAAATATTTGTGTATTACGCAGATTTATTCAAAACGACGCGATTTTTCTTCCTGCTGGACAGAACTCTTCGAGGTACGATCCGAGCATTTGGTCTCAACACGGAGGGCGACAGCTACTACATGAACCTCCCAACTCCGAGGGGAGAACTTTCTTGTAAGAATTATCTATATTCAGTTAATATATGTAAAGTTTGAGAAATTAGTGATTCGACTTTTCTAAAATATTAATACGTGTAGGTACCAGTCCAAAAAGTGCCAAAGTTAACATGACCTACATAGCGTGTGAGAATCCGGTGGAATGTCAGATTAAATCGGCTTTCTTAAACTGGGTACGCTTCATAAATTCGAATTTCGAGAATTCATTGAACTGAATCGTTCATTAATCTACATAAATTTGAATATAATTTACATATATTACATGTATCTGTTGATCCCTAGTTCGACTTTGATCATCGAGCGTACGCAATGGAAAGTGCATTTAGCGATGAAGATGGCGAAGACGCTGCAAACCAAACCACCATAAGTCAAGGGTATATTCGGTCCGGAATTATAAAATGTGGCGTTGAAGATTACATAACGACGAAAATTGCCATTGCCAATTTGGATACGTTATGTAGGCACACCAAACAATTTTCAAGCTTTGGGAAATGATAAAATGCAAATTTGTGATAAGTATTTCTTTAAATTTGTGTGTATCTAGATATTGACTCGATCCCTATGAAAAACTTGGTGAGGATCATTGCACCAGAGAGCAATGTATTTGTGGGAGACAAAATGCTGTTCACCTGCATTTATGAAAAGTTTCAAATTGCTCGAGAAGCCAAGTTTGCGGTAATAATCAGTCTAAATCTAGAATTCGTATGTGGTATGCACTGACTAACTTTGTGCTTATCAAATTATCAGGTTCAATATAAGAATGGGACTATCAATTTTCTAGAAATTGGTAATGAATCTAAATTAAAAATATTCTAACTTTTGGCTCATTTGTGCTTTTTGTTGTGCAGATAAGATGGATGATCGCTACTCCTTCGACTTGGAAAAATATCAGAGAACGTCTTACATCACTATTGACAGTCCTGACATATCGTCACTTTTGTGCTTTGTACCCGTGTGGAACTCAACTCAATGGAAAAACACTTCACTTCCGCTCAACGTTTCAAGTAAGGTTTCTACATTAATTTAAACCATTCTTAACTTTCTTATTTAATTTTTCTTGTATTATTAGCCGCAAGCCCTATAACAAGCGATTCTCCACTAAAGTAAGTCTAATTGCACACCATTTCTAAACCAGTCCGACATTAATACTTACAAAGCACTATTTTTAACTTGTTTTTTGAAGCTGTCCAACTGACTCATCTCCAATAATCATATTACAACGAAATTCAACAATTTCATCAAGAAGAGTTCGAGTTCCTCATTTAGTTTCAAACACTACAATTTCTCTGTACAATCCTGTCAGTGAAATACAACTAATTTGCCGTGCTAATTATCCAATTCAATGGGTGTACAATGACGTACCGGTAATAGACATTTCTAAATTTTTACCTCGGCTTTCTCTTGATTCTGATGATTGATTGAGTTGTTTTATGCACAGCTCAACACTTCAAAAATTGGGAAAGTCCCTTGCAGCCAGTCCAGCTCGATGAAAAAGGTTTACGAAGCCATTCTTCACATCGACCCCTTGAAAAAAGAAGGTACCGGAAACTACTCGTGTCGAAAGACGTTCGCAGTCGTCCCTCAGAGTTACGTTTACGTCTATGCTGTTGGAGATGGGGACGCCACTTTTGTAAGTACTCCATGATCCAGTGGACCATGGCCCATTATGGATCAGAATCACTATGATCCATTCCATGATCCATAGGGACCGTTGCATATCTACGTATATTGAATTGAATTGAATTTTATGTTTATACTAAATACGATACGATAGGTAAATGAGGGAAGACACATGCAAGTCGTGAAGCATACGGATGATCCCAATCAAAAAGTGATTATGATATTCAAATTTTATACATGTTTTATTTTCATTGTCTCACCACTGAAAATCGTTTTACAGGTGATTCTTCCATGTCAAGTGTCCAATCCTGAAGGTTAATAATTTATAATGATTACTACCTTGTTAAATTATAAATTCCAAACTAACCAGTTTATTTTGTCTCGAAATTTCAGCCAAACCATATTTATTTCTGGACCATGAAGATTCTGTTAGAATTATTAAAATAATGAAGCATCATAATAATTTGTCATGATATGCATGTCATTCTAATACAAAAATTGTGTTATTTATGCAGGAAAAGATTCAACGGTTGGATTTCTCCGAGGAATTGCAGTATGATCCGAGAAGTGGATTCGAATTGGATTTATCCCTGGCACCAGAACCAGTGACAACATTTATTTGCTCAATGAGCTCGGTATGCATTTTTAATATTTAATTATTCTTACATATAAACAGAATATTTTCTTGAATTAAATCTGTTTATTTTAATTCAAAGAACGCAAGTAGCTTCGGAGTTTTGATCACGTTGAGAAAGCAGGATGGTAATACCCGACAATTGGTATTGTATGTAAAATGGTATGATAATCTAATAAAGCGGTACAATAATTATAGGAATTTTTGCTGCTGGAGCGAGTGGTGGAAGTGGGTCATACAAAGACAGCCAAAGTAACGGAATGCTCATCGGCGTAAGTCAATTATTTATGACAAAGTCAGACATTAAAGAGTGCAATGAATAAATATTGGTATGCATTACTTTTATTCTAGGTCACCGTGATTCTATTGATTCTAGTCATAGTTTTAACTTCAGGATTATACCTCATGTACAAAAAGTGTCAAGAGGTACGCACATTCAAACATCTCTCCAAAACCCAAAAAATTAGAATATGTCCTTCCTAACTGACATTATTTTTAGGCCACATCGAAAACTGCGGATGTTAGCCAATTAGGAAATACGACGGGATTTTCATCATATGACGATGTCCGAATACAGGCCGATGACAGAGAAAACATTGTTGGCGATGGCACATATAATCGATTCAATTAAGGTTTTGGCTAGTTCCTATATTTTTTGCAGTGACAGTGAAAAAGTCTTTCATCTCGAAGAGAAGAATAATATGCAACCAGATTTATTCTTCTAACAGATTGTTGTGTGTGCTCTAAATAAAAACAAAATGTCAAAAATTGAATACAAATGCGAATTGCCTCGTTCTCATTATTTGCTTTACATGAAACATCTATTATTTTCATTATACCGTTGATATACGGAAACTGGTTTTGTCCAACTCAAGTTAAGACTAAAAATAGAATTTATGGTCAATTCGAAGGTCTGAAAATCAAAATTATCTGTAAAACAACTAAAACAACTTGAGATATTTGCATGTTCAAGATTCTTGTAAGAGTCACATCACTATTAATTATGCAATTGAATTCCATACTTTCCTTGAGTAGGTAAATCACCCGAATGATTGATGGACAACGAGAAGTAGCCCTATAATTATCAAGACATTCTAAATAATATGATGACTTAACTTTGCTCTTGTTTCTGCAAAATCCCAGAGGCGAGAAACTGTCTCAAAATATGAAATACGTACATAAACAACCATTTGCCAATAATTTGTACTTTGTAATTTTTAAAGCAAAACTGTGTTGGTAGCATTCTGGTAACAACCTTTACATCACAAATAAATACATGCACACTTATCCATTATTAAATAATTTATGAGGTGAATTTTGTTTGAAATGAGCTTACAACAAAAATTAAATAAATATTGCGACCTTAACTTAAAATTTACCTAGTAAAATATTATGTTCAACCTTCATTATACTATGAAACTTTAGTCAAGAACCTTCACTAAAATATTACCCAGCCTACATGACCCCACCGGTTATTGGAAATATTCGGTTGTTGTATACCAACCACAGATAAGGTTTACTTCCAAGTTTGGTCAAAATCGGTCAATGCGACTTATCAGTACTGTAGTAGGGCGATTATATTTCTAAGCCCTGGTTCGAGCTATGAAAACGTTTCATATTGTACTAAAATCCTAAACAGCATTTCAGTAATTCTTACAATTTATAAACTGATACAATACTTTATCTGACAAAGCCTCATTGAACCAGTCGTGAGACAATTGTTGTTATGTAACGAGATGACCCTTGGCATTTTTATTTTGGGGTGAAACCAATCTTATAGAAGGAGCAATTTTTGTGGATGGATGATCTGATTTGCATTATATGTACATATTTATTAAATACAACGCCTATGAAATTCCCAAGAAAGGCTACATCTAAATTTGACATGACACTTCTTGTGTGCATTATTAATGCTTGAATTACATTACAGCATCCATAAATTCTTTTAATTTTATTACTAATTTTAATAAGGCTATATAAACTTTGCATTAGTCAAGTTCATGAATTAAATGACGAAAAGTGTGACTGGGCTGGGTCAACGTATAAAAGGAAATTGGGTTACCCGTCAAAGTGATCAGTAAGAGTTACGCGTTCTTCTTGATGTCAGTGTTCCGTTGACGCGAATTGTGACCGTTTCGCTCATGCATTGCTTGAAAGTAATAATATAACAGTGCGGGGCTCAGTTTCCATTGTCCAAGCACAATGAGATTACTTCTAGCATTTCTAGTCTTATGTGGTTCAGTGCTTATCGTGAGTGGGGTCGGTTTTCGATTTCAATCGGATAAGAAAAGTGGGGAGAAACGATTATGGCTTCATGTTCCTGGGTACGATGAATGCATATAATATGCTAATTATTCTATTTAACATAACATATTTCGCATTTTAGAAGTGATCCCAATTTATTAACAGACTTTGAGGAAAGTAAGTAGAGGAAATTTTTCAAAGAATTTGAAAATTTTAAATTTTCATATTAAAATTATGTATTATTGCTAGAACCGTATAATGGACCTAAGAATCTTGTCGATGTCAACCGTCCCATCAGCTCCGGTAAAACGAAACTATCCAGACCCAGAACTTCCAAGCTTTCCTCCGAAGTGGAAGAGGTGACCTCGTCCAACCCCATCCGTCGAAAGACAGGGTCGAAGGGTCGCTCGGAAAAGTTTCAACTGCCAATTTTGGTCCCGATTTATGAAGATGGTTACCACTACCCGAAACCAAACACGCCCTTCGTACTTCCTCCCCAAGTAGGTTATCCTGATGTACCCGATGAGGAAAATTTCGGTATTGGTCAAAACTCGGAAGAAAACAAAGATATATTCGCAGGTCGACCAGGATACGTCACCACACCGCGACCCGCACCAATCACGACGCCAAATGACGATGCTGCTGAACAGTTTAAGTCAAGACCAAAATCGACCCCGTCATCCCCCGTATTTTGCAAGGACGATTCAGAAATTGGATATGGCAGACCTCAACCAGCCAACTGTATTCCTAAACAACCAGATTCTGACGATGCCGCAGAGAGGTTTAAACCTCGACCAAAACCAGCAACTCCTGCAAGCCCGGTATACTGCCCGACTGAAACAGAAATCGCACACGGAAAACCTAGACCCCCGAACTGCTTACCACGCGACGGATATTACTACCCCAAGCCGGACAAACGCTTCGGATTACCGCAAACGACAAAGAGACCAGACGATTCAGATGCAGCAGAGGTTTTCAAACCGCGACCCAAGCCAACCACGCCGTCCTCGCCAGTATTATGTCCCACAGAAGCTGAAATTGCATATGGAAGACCGCGACCAGCTAATTGTATTCCACGACCAACTACTCGACCCCCAACTACAACGCCATCCGATGATGCCGCAGAGGTTTTTAAACCACGACCGAAGCCAACGACGCCACCAGCACCTCAATTATGTCCCACGGACAGTGAAGTTGCTTACGGAAGACCGCGACCAGCCAACTGCATTCCGCGCCCCACAACAAGACCCCCCACGACCACTACCCCTGACTCTGATGCGGCCGAAGTATTCAAACCAAGGCCAAAACCTACGACTACAAAACCACCCCAATTATGTCCCACGGATTCCGAAATTGCTTATGGAAGACCAAAACCACCCAATTGCATTCCAAGAGCGACAACAAGACCAACTGAACCGCCACTTTGTCCCGAGGAAGGAATGGATGGATTTTACCGACCACGACCCCACAATTGTCGCCCAAGACCGACTACCAAACCACCAGATTCAGACGCAGCTGAAGTATTTAAACCACGACCAAAACCAACAACCCCACCAGCACCTCAGCTATGTCCCACAGAAAGTGAAATTGCGTACGGAAAACCACGACCAGCAAACTGCATACCACGACCAACTACTCGACCCCCAACAACAACCCCAGCAGATGACGCCGCAGAGGTTTTTAAACCACGACCAAAGCCAACGACGCCACCACCACGTCAATTATGCCCCACGGAAAGTGAAATTGCTTACGGAAGGCCACGTCCAGCAAACTGCATCCCACGAACAACTACGCGACCACCAACAACTCCGCCCGATGCGGATGATGCAGCAGAGGTTTTTAAACCACGACCAAAGCCAACGACACCGCCACCACGTCAATTATGCCCCACGGAAAGTGAAATTGCTTACGGCAGGCCACGACCAGCCAACTGCATTCCACGCCCCACAACCAGACCCCCCACGACTACTACCCCTGACTCTGACGCGGCCGAAGTATTCAAACCAAGGCCAAAACCAACGACCACAAAACCACCCAGATTCTGTCCAACCGAAGCCGAAATTGCAGATGGTTGGCCCCTTCCACCCAACTGCATTCCTAGACCACCACCAACCATCCCACCCCTTTGCCCCGAAGAAGGAATGGACGGATTCTACCGACCAAGACACTTCAATTGTCGACCGAGACCGACAACTCGACCCCAAACCACGACACCCAGAGACGCTGATGATGCAGCAGAAGTATTTAAACCAAGGCCAAAACCAACAACGCCACCAGCACCTCAGTTATGTCCAACTGATAGAGAAATTGCTTACGGAAAGCCACGCCCAGCCAACTGCATCCCCCGACCAACTACTCGACCCCCAACTACAACCCCAGCAGATGACGCCGCAGAGGTTTTTAAACCAAGACCCAAACCTACAGCTCGACCAACCCCCTTACCATTCTGTCCTGGAAGAGGAGACGCCCCACGACCAAGAACTGACCAACCAATCAAATGTCGACCTCGACCAACAACAACCACAAAACGACCAGACGATGATGACGCAGCCGAAGTATTCAAACCAAGACCTAAGCCAACAACACCCTCCTCCCCTCAATACTGTCCAAGCGAGTATGAAATTTCCCAAGGACGACCACGACCAGCAAACTGCATCCCAAGACCAACACGACGACCTCAAGAACCAGACAGTACATACATTCCTCCATACGCCCCACCACCCCCACAGTCTGAAGGATGTGGATATGGGTACGACCCTTGCCCTGGACAACAACCCATCAGACCTCCCACTTACGGATGGGGACCACGAGCCCCACCAATCCAAACACTTCCTCCCAGATACACCTTACACAACGGGCCTGCTAACTGTGGGCCAGGGTTCGCCTTTCCCTGTGGAAATCGTCCTGTACCCAATTCAGGCGGAAGAAGCACCCATCAAGGAGGTCACAATTTCCCACCTTTTGGAGGAACTCGGCAGATCGGGTTTCTTAGATCTGGAAGCAGGAACCAATCCTACAGACCAATCCAGAATGAATTTGACCACAACAGAGGCTTCGCCCAGTCTCAAGGACCATCCCGCCGAGGAAATCGACATCTTCAACCAGTTTCCACAACCACGACCGTCCGACAAACAACGGGAGGAACAGTAATCTACGTATCAAATCACAGTGGACGAAGGCCAGGAAGTTCTCAGAGCAATCTTTACGGTAGCTCGTTTAGCAGAAGCAGACCCAACACTGCCAATTTCTACACTATTTAAGAGCCACAGACTTTGACAAAGATACGTATCAACTGACACTGATGATGGGGTCGACTCTCGCAGTGATGCAATACGATTCGCATCAAGATAACTCATAGATTCGATTATTTATTTCAATTTTTATTATTTATTACTCGTTTTTCCTATCTAAATATAGAAAGCATTTCGTTACAGAATTCAAGCGTTTGTTTTCCAGTAAAAAAAAATAAAGCATTTTTTTCTCTTCAGACTGTTCTCGTATAGTTTATATAAAAAACATTCAAAAATATATAAAAGTCAATTGACTGGAACGTGTCATAAGTAAATACTTATCATTGTAAATACATACGTAGATCAATCAGGTCCGTTTAACACAGGAATCATTGCTACAACACTTTTTGCATAATCACATCCATGTAGTAATTACTAATACTTAATATGTAACTGGAAACAGCAATAAACTAATATATGCATAGAAAAATACGCGCATCATTCTCCAGACTGGAAATAAAATACATAATAATTGGAACAATTTTAGTCTTAATCATCATCATCAGTAAATTTGATTTTCTTTCTCAGAGATTCTTCCTTCTTTCCAGTTTCTTCTCTCTCTTGCTGCCTCTTATCTCGAATCAGGGCATCACGTTTATCTAACTCGGTTGCAACTTCCATCCTCTCCTGAAATTCCTCTCGTTCCTTCAAAATAAGGGCCCACTTCCTTTTGAACTTTCTCCATCGTGGATGTCCGTTCCTCTCGCGTTGAGTTTGTCGTTTCTCCTGCTTATAAGAGTCGTCAAATGCTTTGTACTCTACGTCCTTGCAGCTACCTATCCACTGCTTGACACGCCAATTGCAGTATTTCATGGCAAGTTTTTCATAAACAGAGAGTAAAAATCGAAGCTTCTTATTTCTTAAAACTCGACAATTCTCATTGTACGACGTGTCTTTCAAAGTGATATTGACCACGGTAGCCATAAACTCGTTTTTAGGAAGATCATTCTCCCCTCTAAGATCAAAAGTAATGTCAAGTCTACAGTTAAACTCCATTCTTCTCAAAATGGACAATGGCACTCGTTTTGTTACGCAGGTTAAATCAATTTCTTCAATTGACTTGGAAGTCACATGATCTGTAATTAATGCCCACAAGGGGCGTATGTGAGAATGGAGAAACTTTGCCTTCCACACTTTCTTTTTGTAAAGTAAATCAGAGATACTATTGTTAGTTGAGCATTGAAATTCTAAAGAAGATTTGCCATTTTCAGTCGGAATAGAGTCAAATCGTTCCTTAATGGTAAGAGATTCAATAATTTCATCTGTAGTTTTCGAAAAATCTGGCAGTTCAAGGGACATGCCCTCTAGTTCAAATCCAAAACATTTTGACCAGAATACAGAATTGAATTCTAAAACGTACTGAACCCAAAGAGTCTGAAATTTTTTCCGAACATCCATTAGAATTATCTCATCGGAACCTTCAATTTCAGAAATTGCTCTTTCGAAATAGTTTCGGAGACTTTGATTAACTCTAACTTTTCCACGTCGTAATTGTGTCAAATAAGCTCGATTGTCATCTAAAGGATTTTCTTCATCCTCTGTGTCCATTTCCCAGGAAGATTCCTCAACAACAGGAGGTTCAATAGGACCAGGAGTTACGTCCAATGGAGTGGTGGATTCGTGATCACTCTGTTCAACATAAGTAACGTTGCTCATAAAAATGAATCTTCATATACAGACTGGACTGAATTTGTGTGCAAACAAACCTGGTCTGAAATATCATCTTGGTTTGTAGATGATGATAGCGATAAATTTCCAAAGACATCCAAATTTGATTCTTCTTCCAAGTTGAGAAAAATTGACATTACATCATTCGATTCAGTTTCAAGAATCTTGCCAAGTTTGATTGTCGTAGCTGCGCAAAGGGATTGAAACCGACGAACTTCTTCAAATGTGACGTCTCTTGTCAAATTAGACACGAGATCCAATGGGTGTTGCAATCCCATCGGGCTGCCAATATAAAATTTCTCTACTCGCGTCGCTCCATTGTTGCCGAACAGGTATCGCTTCTTTATTTCCTCCGGGAATGAATTTTTGATAACCTGAAATAATGGTGCCCTGATAAGTTAGATATTTAATTAAATTTGCGTGAAGTAAATTAATTAAGCCAAACCTTTCCAAACGCAGTAACCGGAACGAGTTGACCAACCGCTGGACAAACGACAAACCGTTTAAGATCCGCTTTGGCATAAAACTCAAAAAAATTCTTAAGCAGTGCAATAATGCTAAATGTTTTAATCGTTGGATCATCCATCATCGGTGGTACAGCGGAAGACAAAAGATTTACGTCATCAGAATATCCAATATCAATGTTTTCCAAGATTAATGGCGACTTGTTTAGCACGTAGAGCTCATTCACAGTTGGAATTACTTTGGCATAAGACATGAACGACAGTAACATCCAAATCAAGGCATGGTTTTGGAAAACTTCACCTTCCGTATGCAATACATTATAGTAGTGCCCCCAGAAGTTTACGAGGGAAAGAATTTCATGAAATCTGGGGTCCAACGATGTTAAGAATTTTATGATTTTTGTATCTTGAATTGCCAAGTAGTTTTCCACAATTATGCTACACCGCACACCGGAGTTTTTATGAATGAAAGTAATCTTTTTTATCTTGTTTTTGGTGGGGAATGAGATTTTTGACAAGTTTATGTCGACATCGATGCAAAACTTGAGATTATATTGTTGTTGTTTGAGCAGGCGATAAATTTCATCGGCAACTGCTTCTTGAGATTCATTATCGCAAAATATCACGGCTCTATCAGAATTCATTTTCCCTATAGGTAAACAATATTAGGAAAATATTTTAATTTTACGGCGCTTGATAGCATATGAATTTCGTGTATCTTACTAACCAAAAGGATCTACCGCTAAGCACATTGTGTCAAATTCAGTTGCAACTCCCAGAAAGGTCGGTCCCACAGGGAAAATTGTGCATTCATTAAAATTGGGGAGTAGAATTTGCAAAAGTTCTTGTCCAATATTTGCAAGTTTCACCAACTGGTCGGAACTCAAACCAGCAAGTTTGCAGAATCCATCGACTTGTTGTTCCAAGGTGACTCCAGACAAGTCTTCTTTGATCTGGTGTACCAAACTTTGACATTGGTTCAACGATTGATCTTCACAATTATTCGAGTATGGAGAGAACTGGAGTACCGGTGATGAAACTGCACTACTTGCTAAACTTTGACGGTCAGATGATGTTGACCCAAGTGACATACGACTCTCAACAGCAGGAGATTGTCGTCGTCCTATAATAAAAATAAATTCACTAATTAACCTCACCACTACACAAGAAAAATACAATACGGTTTTATACCCACCTCCCCATAAATCTTGACCATCAAACAGTGCTCGAATTTCAATCATCTTCCCCCATAACCATTGTACATTTTGATCTTGTATTGTCTTCCTCACTGCAGCTCTGATTTGTGTACAAAATCGAAAAAAAATTTTACAATCCATTCAGTGATGTACATCAGTAATGCCTAATGTAACATGTACGGCTCACCTCTCGCCAAATATGACAATGATCTGCTTCGTCGGTTCCATAATCCCATGAACATCTTCAAGATTCTCCTCTTTTCCTCCAATAATTAAGTTCACAATTGCTCCACAATTTGAGAAATGTTTGGCAATGTCGATAAGAGGAGTGCTCTTCGGAATTCTGCTAGCTATGATGACCTTATCTCGAACATGAGGCAACTCCAACTCCGCCTCGCCATGACCATGTGTGTTGAAAAGTGCTTCTTGATGAAGCCAGGTGGAAATGTGGACCAGCCACTGATTGTAATTGCAGGTTAAAAAGTTGCAAACGCTGCATCTGTGTGGCGTACTAGGGGCCATTGTATTATAACCAATTGTTTTTTAATTCCTTTTCGACGAGGAGCGTTGCATAATTTGTTAGTAGGGGAGGAGGGATTACGAGATTCAGGAAGGATACGCATAAGATCTATACAAATTTATAAGTTGATTAGACTTAAAATATTTTAATTTTAAGGATATAATATCCTGGATATTACGTGGTCAACTGGTCCGTCACCTTCTGCACTACATCAATAGTATTCATTGAATACTATTTGGCTATTATTTCGATTTCGACACGACCTGCACCTGTGTGTTACAAAATTTAAGGAAAAATTAAAATTAAAAACACAAATTTTTACACATGAAATTAGGATTACCTTTCGTAATTACGTATTCCTCTTTTGTTTCTATTTGCAATTTGCTGGAAAGAAAGAGATCAGGGCCCCATTTCACCACACCCTACTCTGCACTCCAGATTCCGCACTCCGCACTTTACAAAATTTGTAGAGTGCAGAGTGGGAGCGTTTCACAGTGGCGACCTACTCCGCGAACTTCCGCTCCACAAAAATTAAGGTTTGCGGAGTGAAAATGCGGAGTTCATTCACTCAAATTTCAGAACTTTTTAATTTTCTCAATGTTGTTTCATCCTCTTCTTCTCACACGACTGACACCTTCATAAATTTATTGTTCTATACCCGTGATCGTCCAATCAAGTGATAATATAATCAGTTAATTTAATTACAAAAATATTGGATTGTAGATAATATATTTCACTTCACTTATGGTTGATCAAAAATCATAAAGAGAAATACAAAAAACCAACAGTGCAGACTTGACATAGCCCGAGTCATGCCAAGAGTTATCACTCAATCCGACTTTTTTGCATGAAATTTTATCTGAAATGTGTATCAAAAAATCTAAAAATTTAAATTGATTTTTCAAATTTAAATTCATATTCTTCCATGAGTACCAATTAGCAGCCTATGTGACAAATTTCAGCCTGATACTACGATTTAAAAAAATCGGTATGGGTCACCTAATCGAGTCCTCCAGATGAGAATTTTTCCTATTTTAATTCATATTGTTTCATTAGCATCCATTACCAACTTTTCTACCAAATTTCAGATCGATTTGACGAATTTGAAAAATTGGTATGGGTCACCCCGTAGGGTCCGTCCAGATGAAAATAGGTCCCATTTCAATTCATACTTTTCCATTAGTTGTCAGTAGAAATCCAAACACCAAATTTCAGCTCGATTGAATGAGTTTTAAAAATCGGTATGAATCACCCCCTAGGGTCCCTGTAGACTTTACTTTATATTCTTTCATTACACACCATTGTCAATCTCTATGCCAAATTTCAGCTTTCTACAATAATTTTGAAATTTTGGTGCATAATACCCCACCACCCAGATGACCCCCACCAGTCAACCACTTGACCGATTTCGCCCATCTACGAACCTGACTCTTCATTTGCCCCTTTTCTACATTTGTGCAAAATTTCGAGTCGATCGGATTATTCTACGACAGTTATCGCAAGGCAGACAGACGGACATGACGCGTACATAAGCCCTGACTCGGGCTAAAAAGCCAATTGCAGAGTGTCCGAGCACTTTGCAAAAAAATATGTAGAGTGCGGAGTTTCGAGCGATGACCTTTCGCGGAGTAAAATTTGGTGAAACGGGGAAGGTCAAATTTCACTCCGCACTCCCCAAAATTTGACTCCACAATCTACACTCCGCACTTCACAAAATACTACTTTTGTGAAACGCTCCACTCCACAAATCCACAATTTTTTGTGTGGAGTACGGAGTGCGGAGAGCTGGTGAAATAGGGCCCAGATTCCATTCATTTCATGAATGAATGACTGACTCCTTCCCACTAAATCTGATTTCCAGGGGCCAAGTGGTCTTTTTATCCAGGACCAATACTGGAATGTGCCTGATTTTTGTCACGTTAATTGGTATCGAATAATTTTTATTGAATAGTGAATCAAATGATTAATGGAGTCAATTACAATTAATAATTATTGTTACACAGTAGAAAATCTCCAGAATGGTGGTAATTAAATAATTTATTTAGTTAGCATACATAAAGCATGTGTGTAGAAAGCGTGTTATATATAGATCTACATCTATATCCAGGCTGTGTCACCTATATATGAGATAACTTTGACTTGAGGAAAGGGCCGGATCATCTAAAAAGAAACGACGTACGGTCGCCTCTGTAACATTGGTAAGCAACGATTGTAACTTCTCGAGGCAACCGTAAGTGGTTCTTTTTAGATGATCCGGCCTTTTCCTCAAGTCAAAGTTATCTCATATATAGGTGACACAGCCTGTCTATATCCATCTAATATTAGATTTGCATAGGCCAATACAAGCCTGAATGACCTTAAGTTTTAAATTTGAGGTTTATCGCCCGAGGTTAATGAGTGTCTAGGTCACGTTAAGGCCCTGAAAAAGGTCAAGGCACAATTTTTTTTATTATTAGGTAAAGCAAGCCTGTATAACCTTAAGTTTTAAATTTGAGGTGGAATGGTTAACATTAATGTTTATTTCGCCAATTCAGCTTTTTGACGAAATCGGTTTCGCTGAAAGTTTTCTGTTTTGGTGTTTGTAGAAAATGAGCAAAGTATGAATAAGGTCCCTTTTCATGGAGACAGCCACATATAACAATTCAATCAATTTACCTTTATTCAAGTGTTAGTCACATTCAGTCAGACATTCAGTCAGACGATCAGACTGGTTTACAAGTTATAACACACTATGCAAATAAACATCTGTCTATACTAATCAACTACAAACTATATTCCTCAAAAATATATAACAGGACCTATGATTTGTACGTCCCTGAATTGGGTCGCAGTTACACTATTTATTAGCGAAATAAAATATTCTGTGAATATAGAAATGTCTAATCTTTTGTTATTCAGGACTGGAACGTGGTCAATCATACATTGATATGCTGCATTTTATACTTATTTTGCACATTTGCCACTAAAGTTGGCACTGTTGTATCGTCCATCATATAGTCCTCGACCCCACTTAAAAATCCAATCTCGTCATCAACCTTTCCTCCGAAACATCTTGGAATCTGCATAGAATCTGCAGCCGGGATCATGTCATTTAGTGGCCAGAGATTTTTATGGACGACATGAATCTATAAGTAAAAAGATACATACAATTGACTCAAAATTAATTATCAGCGGATATGCATTTGCGAAAAATTTCTGAAATATGTATTTTATTAAAGATTTCCAGAAACCAAAATTAACCTGATAATCTCGTATTCAGAATGTAATATTCAGAATTTCAAATTTCAGAAATTTTCAGAAATTTTTGGTAAAAACTAATCAACACCAGAATTTTCAGTATTTCTGAATATAATGTTCTGAATTTTTTGTGGTAGAATTTCTTTAAACAAAAACTTTTCGTCTCGTATCGTTCAAATATATATAAAAGGTATGTATTTTTGACAAAAATATCGTAAAGATTTGCATATTTTTCCAATAATAGCAGAAATATTTATATTTTATGTCTGACAACCTAGAAGTATGTAATGTGTAAAAATATTTTGAAATTTTTGTGATCTGTAAGATTAGGCAACACACCCATGATAAAGTTGAAAATAAATACACATCCACACTGCTAATATTAAAGTACTTGACGCACTCACCAATTTCCTATTCTTCGCTCCTACCGCATATTTGAAAATGTTAAACAATTTCTCCACCACTTTTGGGCTGTTTATAATTACACAACCAACGAATTTAATTGGCAATGCGTTTAGTAAGCAGTTCAGCCTTTTAATCGCATCAAACGATATGACTTTAACATGGCTGAATTCGAATCCATCTGCATCTATGATAAGAATGCCTCCGTTCCTCTGTGTCGCAAAGGAATCCTTTATGAGTTCATAAACGTAGAGAATTCCAACCGCTACCAATTCATCAAATGGGACATCACTAGGATTCCAACGATCTGTAGACGTACAAGAGTTGGAAGTAAATGAGGTACACTTTTTCGGGTGTTTCATGCAAATTGATTGATCAATAATAACTTACTAATCCTCAGCACAAGAATTCCTGGCGACTTGCTACTCTCGTTCTCACCGGTGTTAACGATCTGAAATATTTTCTTTTCCAAAACTGGTTTAAGTTTAGTAAAGTCGATCAGGGCAAAAAGGTCAGGATATGACACAGTGCAACTAATCAGGAGGCGTTTCGCCTATCAGTTATTAAGCAACAAAGAAACATTAATTTATACTCTTAGAAATCCAGAATTAAAATAAAATAATTTTAAAAAAGCTTGCTTAGGCGAGGTGCTGCTAAAAGTGAAAAACAAGGCCTCTTGCATATCTTTTAAATATCTCGTACCTTTATCATTGTAACAGGAGTTGGTGACTTTGTCTCACCGCGAGGGCAAACATTTTTACCGTTTACCATACCACGACGTTTATTACTTACACTTTCTGCTAAGATATTCAATTATTGCTAATTAAAATTGTATCTATATGTATAAACGCTTAAACAAACTTATTGCTTCGAAAGGGTTATAAAATTGAGTGGATTTTGTAAAATTATTATGCAGAGGACCAATATGATCAATAATGTTTATTTAGCTCATAATTAAATTCGATAGTTAACCAGTAATTCAGGTAGCTAATAAAATTTGATGGATGTGCACAATTTTCAATAGGTGTAAAAAAATTAAGATGCCGACGCACGAATAACAACGCGAGGGTATTTCCTAATTTTATTTACATATTAAAACAACTAGTTGTCAGTACGAACTAAAAAGTGATAAATGATAATTTTGACGTGAACCCAGATTAGTTAGGTTCTTGCGAATTCTTGAGAATATATTCTTTATTACTAGAGGCTTGGCGTAAAATGTTTGGCCTCGCGGTGATGCAAAGTCACCAACTCCTGTTACAATGATAAAGGTACGAGATATTTAAAAGATATTCCCAGAGGCCTTGTTTTTCACTTTTAGCAGCACCTCGCCTAAGCAAGCTTTTTTAAAATTATTTTATTTCATGGATTTTAGGTGATGCACATTTGCAGACAATTAATTGCACCTCAAAATTGTTAAACTTTTTGAAGACCGAATGTCTTGAATCTTTTTCATTACAAAATTAGTTGAAAATATGTACAGAGGGTCGCAAAATTAATTTAAAAACGGATTAAGGATCAATAATCCAAATTTTTAAATTAATTTAGCAGAAAATAATTTTTCAGATATTAGGTTTTATGGGGATTAGTTATTTCACGAGAACAATCTGGATTAGGGAGGAAGATTATTTAATCTGGATTAGATTAATAAATTACAAAATGAACTTATAAACATTTAAATCCAAAATATATGCATATAGGATGTTCAAATTTAAAATTTGTAAATTTGACACAGTACTTAAATATAAAATTATTGAAATTTGAATTTGCAAAAGAATTTGTAATTAATATGGATTAATAATCGTGCCCAACACTGATCAGGAGGAAAGTTTTTGTGCGATTGGCCAAAAATGGAAATTACAATTGACCAATTAATTTGGCAAATTAAAATTGCCTAACACAACTACTTGTATTTGGAAAATTGTTATATTGATAGCTAGTAGCAACCAACTAGGAATATTGTAATTTTTGGTTAGCAACATGAATGGTTTCAGATGCTTCCATCAAAACTTTTTCAGTTTTGGACCGATCTCAGTCGGATTTGTTTTAAATGACGCACAACCGATTTCTGCATGATCAAATCAGGTTTTATGCATATAATCCTTTGACACAAGTGTCTCAAATTTTGATTGTAAAGTTTCAAATCCAAATTTGAGAGCGAAGAATAAAACTTTTCTATCGGGCATATTGAAAAACCACATCTCCTAATTCTCCTCTGCACGATTGCTCTTTACACCATTTGCGTAGGATTAACCGTTTAGGCTCTAGCCTCGCTGACAGTTTCAAAGGGTGTATACGAAAGCATACTTAGGCTTCGCCGTAACCATGGTGACGCTTTTTTGCGGGCACCCATTGTTACTTTTGCCTCACCTAAGAATAAAAATAATTCAAAATAATTCATATATGACTCTAGCAAAGTGGCATTGATAACTATGCATTTAAAGTTTCACCATATCATAATCTTTACGAACTGCTGGTAGTAACTTTACTACCAAGAAATCAATACCTTGAGTGCAGGTCTATGCCAGATTTCTGACAGTGTAAAAAAAGATTCTCATTACCACGCGGAAGACTTTATGAGCATTGCATCTAGACGAGCGAACCATTATCAGCATGAGCTTGTTTGTCCAAAATGTTATCATAGGCTTCAAATTCTTGTCGTCTATGCATAAATATTAATTTTAAAATATATATTTGCACTTTTAACAATAATATGACACTCTTAGAAAACATTATCAACATTTTATTACGGAAATAAATTTAGCAAACGAGGATTACAGATAAATCATTGCTGACCGCAGTACATACCCGAGTACATAACTCTACCGGTCCTGGTAATAACGGGCATTACCATACATACAGTAATGTTGTGGTATAATTGCGTATAATAATTTGCGTACCAATCCTGTGGTACAAGTATGTATACATGTGACTCGATCAGATTCTTCACTACCGTTAATCCATACAAAAAAAATAACCATGTACTAAAAAAAATACTCAAACAAACCGTAGTAACGTTAGAAGTAGCTCATCCTGTCATAATTATTTAGACAGAAGTTAGCACTGAAGGTGCAAAATAAGCCGACAAAATAGATCATGACTCTTATACATTCTTGCACCGATGGTGCAATACAAACGGGAAAGTATATAAAATGTCGGAATTACTTTCATTTAACTTTAGACCAAATGTGCTGAATAACCGCAAGTATAAAATTTATATATTTTAGCCTCAATGGTGCAGAATAATGGAGCAAATAGATTAGAATAGAATTTTCAAATAATTTTGCATTAATGGTGCAGGATAATCGAACAAATAGAACAGAATTTTGACATGATTTTTGGGGGGAAATAGATGGCCCACTTGTTACGCATCATTGATTTTTGGGGGAAAATAGATGGCCCAATTGTTACCCATCATTAATTTTTGGGGGGAAATAGATATCCCAATTGTTACGCATCATTTTTAATAACCAATTGCTCGGTACTAACGGTGCTACTTATTCCAAAATTATAGTCCTATCTCGATCTATTTGCTGAATTAACTTGCACCATTTGCGCTCGGATTGTTCTATACCAATGGTGGGACCAAACAAGTCTATAATGGACAAGGGGATTTTTAATCAGCATCAATTGATGCAAAAAACTCGTGAACACACAGACGGACAGACGGACAGACAGACGGACAGACGGACAGGCTGAATTCAATAGCTCCCGTGCTATGCAGGGTGAGCTAATAATACTGCTAGTATGTAAGTATTATTTGAATGCTTACCATTGATCAATTTGAATGCGAGACGTAAACATCTTTCTTCATCTTCGTTATAAAATAATTCTCCGATATCTTCACAAGTTTCCATTTTGCTGCTGACGGGTAATTCTTTCTGAATACTTTTTGCATGCAGACTCTGTACTAACGTACTGACTTACTAACATTAATTACCTCTGCATTATGAATAAGCAATTGTAAAGGGTTCAAGTGATGACGAGTGAGATACAATTTACCTACCACATGTGTATGTGTAGGTATGTATGTATCCCATCAAGAGGTCGAGTGGGAAATAATCTATATACATTGTCTGTGATATTACATTGTTTTGTCCTTTGTATGCATGCACGCTATTATCTGAGCATTTTAAGATATTTATTTACTAAATATTTGACATGATCTCATTGTCAGTTAGGTTAAAAATAAATGAATAGACCCCAACAAAGGTTGGGGGTCTAGAGGACCCCAACAAATGTTGGGGGTGAAAAGGACCCCAACAAAGGTTGGGGGTCTAGAGGACCCCAACAAATGTTGGGGGTGTAAACGACCCCAACAAAGGTTGGGGGTCTAGAGGACCCCAACAAATGTTGGGGGTCTAAAGGACCCCAACAAAGGTTGGGGGTCTAGAGGACCCCAACAAATGTTGGGGGTGTAAAGGACCCCAACAAAGGTTGGGGGTCTAGAGGACCCCAACAAATGTTGGGGGTGTCAACGACCCCAACAAAGGTTGGGGGTCTAGAGGACCCCAACTAACGTTGGGGGTGTAAACGACCCCAACAAAGGTTGGGGGTCTAGAGGACCCCAACAAATGTTGGGGGTCTAAAGGACCCCAACAAAGGTTGGGGGTCTAGAGGACCTTAACAAATGTTGGGGGTCTAAAGGACCCCAACAAATGTTGGGGGTCGAAAGGCCCTCAACAAAGGTTGGGGGTCTAGAGGACCCCAACAAATGTTGGGGGTGTCAACGACCCCAACAAAGGTTGGGGGTCTAGAGGACCCCAACAAATGTTGGGGGTCTAAAGGACCCCAACAAAGGTTGGGGGTCTAGAGGACCCCAACAAACGTTGGGGGTCGAAAGGACCCCAACAAAGGTTGGGGGTCTAGAGGACCCCAACAAATGTTGGGGGTCGAAAGGACCCCAACAAAGGTTGGGGGTCTAGAGGACCCCAACAAATGTTGGGGGTCTAAAGGACCCCAACAAAGGTTGGGGGTCTAGAGGACCTTAACAAATGTTGGGGGTCGAAAGGACCCCAACAAAGGTTGGGGGTCTAGAGGACCCCAACAAATGTTGGGGGTCGAAAGGACCCCAACAAAGGTTGGGGGTCTAGAGAACCCCAACAAATGTTGGGGGTGTAAACGACCCCAACAAAGGTTAGGGGTCTAGAGGACCCCAACAAATGTTGGGGGTCTAAAGGACCCCAACAAAGGTTGGGGGTCTAGACGACCTTAACAAATGTTGGGGGTCTAAAGGACCCCAACAAAGGTTGGGGGTCTAGAGGACCCAACAAATGTTGGGGGTGTCAACGACCCCAACAAAGGTTGGGGGTCTAGAGGACCCAACAAATGTTGGGGTCGAAAGGACCCCAACAAAGGTTGGGGTCTAGAGAACCCAACAAATGTTGGGGGTCTAAAGGACCCCAACAAAGGTTGGGGGTCTAGAGGACCCCAACAAAGGTTGGGGGTCTAGAGAACCCCAACAAATGTTGGGGGTCAAAAGGACCCCAACAAAGGTTGGGGGTCTAGAGGACCCCAACAAATGTTGGGGGTGTAAAGGACCCAACAAAGGTTGGAGGTCTAGAGGACCCCAACAAATGTTGGGGGTGTAAAGGACCCCAACAAAGGTTGGGGGTCTAGAGGACCCCAACAAAGGTTGGGGGTCTAGAGGACCCCAACAAATGTTGGGGGTGTAAAGGACCCCAACAAAGGTTGGGGGTCTAGAGGACCCC